ACACCAGTTAGAACGGGCATCATCAGAAAATCTACAAACAACAGATGCTGGAGAGGGTGTGGAGAAAAGGGAACACTCTTGCACTGTCAGTGGGAATGTAAATTGATACAGCCACTATGGAGAACAGTATGAAGGTTCCTTAAAAAACTAAAAGTAGAATTACCATATGACCCAGCAATCCCACTCCTGGGCATATACCCAGAGGAAAAACATAATTCAAAAACCGCATGCACCCCAATGTTCATTGCAGCACTATTTACAATAGCCAGGACATGGAAGCAACCTAAATGCTCATCAACAACCGAATGGATAAAGAAGGTATGGCACATATATACAATGGAATATTACTCAGCCATAAAAAGGAACAAAATTGGGTCATTTGTAGAGACATGGATGCATCTAGAGACTGTCATACAGAGTGAAGTAAGTCAGAAAGAGAAGAACAAATATCGTATATTAACGCATATATGTGGAACCTAGAAAAATGGTAAAGATGAACCAGTATGCAGAGCAGAAATTGAGACACAGATGTAGAGAACAAACGTATGGACACCAAGGGGGGAAAGCGGCAGGGGGTGGGGAATGGTGGTGTGATGAATTGGGAGATTGGGATTTACATGTATACACTGATGTGTATAAAATGGGTGACTAATAAGAAAAAAAAATAAATAAATAAACATTTTTTTAAAAAGAGAGAGAGAAAAAAAAAAAAAACCGTAGTCAGTGCTTGGGGGCCTTGGTTCTCTTGTTCTCTGTTTACTGTCTTTCCCTTCTGTAACCGATTCTAGGTACACAGTCTCAGTCCTAGAAACGATGCTCTAGAAAGGACACAGATTGTGTGTGGTGAACCTAGGAGATTCTAGCAGGAAACTGTAAGTTCCATGAAGGCAAAGGTTGGGCCCAGTAACCTTCTAGAACTCTGTTAGGACCGTGTCTGTTTGTTTGTTCCTTATTCATCCATCCATCCATCCGTCCATTCATTCAAATAAATATTTGGGGGGGCCTATCCCGTGCCATGCCCTCTTCCAGGCTCTAAGAATTCAGCAGAGAACAAGACAGACATGATCCTTCCCCCTGTTATGCTCTAGTGAGGGAGACAGAATAAACAAGTAAACAAATACATGCTCTAATATTTAAACGAACTAATGACTCTCCTTCGAACCTGGTTTTGAAAAAACAATGAAAGTAACAGGTCCTATAGGAATTATTAGTGCAAACAGCTACCTTGACATGTAGCTGACATATTAATGAGCATCTTTTTCTTGAACTGAGCCCAATTTTGCTGAAATATTCCTTTCAGTTATTCTCCCATTTCAGAGCTTTCCTGAGAAAATGACATGTCTTTTTCAGGTACATGGAGGAGGCTGAATTATTCCCACATACCTTTGTTTTTTTGGCCGTACCACACGGCTTTCAGGATCTTAGTTCCCCGACCAGGGATCAAACCCAGGCCTCCAGCAGTGGAAGCACGGAGTCCTAACCACTGGACCGCCAGGGAATTCCCCATATACCTTTTTTTTTATAACTGAAATATTATGTGACTCAAGTCACAATTTGAGTATTGTTTAAAATGGCTGCCGATATCTGGGGGGGAAAAATGTTTTTTTACAAAGAAATTATCTAGAAATAATTACACTGATGCATCATGCTGTTGCCTCCCCTACCACTGGAGCTTCACTTATAACTGAAGGAGAATATTTTACAACAAGGCATATATGAACCAGAGGCTCCACTGGTTTGAACTCAAATCGAGTTTCATCCACTGACATTTTAGTTTCTTAACTATTCTACTACCTGCAGAGCGTTCTACCAGAAGTGTAAGCCACATGGCAGGTTGATTTATCGTTCTGATTACTTTATGTGTTTTCCCTGGTCCCCGAAGGTGTGTGCATAATGATTTGCTCTCAAAGATCTTCGATCCGCTACAATGTCACTAGAAAATTCTTACCTCCATGTGCTCTTATATGCCTGTGCTAATTAGAAGCCAAATTATTATCTTGAAACAATCACTCCTCCTAACACTATTAACTTTCTTATGATTCAGTGCCCATTTTTTTACACAGCTTAACAGACATTAAACATCTTGGAATTTATGCCAATTACAAACAATATGGATATTTATTTTGGTAGTAAAAGTATCAAAGAGGTTTGAGGACTCTTTGGAGTTTTCCAGCAATCCGAAATCCTAAAACTCGGACGCTTAGATTGACATATTTTAAATCTGTCAAAAGCACTGGAGTCTTAGAGGGGAACGTATGTTTTCCCTTCTGGAAGTTTGTCTCTGTGTGTTCTATCTCTGGTATCATGTAAATAAAAGCATTACGCTGAGAAGAGCTTACAAACACTTTCAGTGTTCCAAGGACCTTTTATGGAAAAGTTGTATTTCCCCCCAACAGAGAAAAGTAAGATGTGAAAGAATTTTTTTACTCAAAGTTTCCAGAGCACAAACATGCAAAAATATAGCCTTGGGGAGAGTGGGGGGCAGAGTGGCCTGTGTCCCCGCGACTTCTAGCATAGACCCCCCCCCCAGTAATGTCTCAGGTGCCCCAGGGAAAAAGAAGTGTAACTGCCCCAAGTGTCATAGACTCTGAACCATGATGGTGCATGAAATGAGTCAGAAAACTTATGAGACCTTGACGCTTCTGTTAATTCTACCAGAGTAATAATGACAAGATTTCCAAGGACACAAACCAAGACCAAAGGCTGTGAGCGCCATCTGGTGGCCATGTCACCACGCCCGAACCCCATTACCTGGGCATGCCCACCCCTCCCCCCAAACTTTTTTTTTTTTTTTTTTTTAATGTGATGCCCGCAACCTGGTCTGATGGTAAACAGGGAAATTCCTGTATTTCTTCTTTTGGAGGGATTATTTTTATTTAAGATACTGAGTCTCTATTTACTCTTATAACAGTTATTTTTAATTTAATGCAAGTTTTTAAGTTTAAAAAGGGAGCTGCTTCTACGAAAAATGCTCAGAAATTATAGTGGGGCTAGCCAAGAGACATGGGAAAAATAGTGAAAGTGGTATATGAATGACTGAAGTTTAGGAACTCTCTTAGGGTGGGGTTGCCAGATAAAGTAAGGACACCCAGTTAAATTTGAATTTTAGAATTTCGTTTTAGTGTGTGTCCCAAATATTGCATGGGACACACTTGCACTAAAATATTATTCATTATCTGAAATCCTATTTTAAGTGAACATCCTTTTTTCCTCCCCTAAATCTGGCAAACTTACCTTAGAAGAACAAAGAAATTGCACCCAGGACTTCCCTGGTGGCGCAGTGGTTAGGAATCCGCCTGCCAGTGCAGGGGACATGGGCTCGAGCCCTGGTCCGGGAAGATCCCACATGCCGCGGAGCAACTAAGCCCATGTGCCACAAATACTAAGCCCTCGTGCCACAACTACTGAAGCCCATGCTCCTAGAGCCCATGCTCTGCAACAAGAGAAGGCACTGCAGTGAGAAGCCTGTGCACCGCAACAAAGACCCAACGCAGCCAAAAATAAATAAATAAAATAAATAAATTTATTTTTAAAAAAAGAAAAGAAATTGCACCCTTCTCCTTGTCACTTCCATTTTGATATCAAAACAAGCTAGCTCTTGTCCTGTCTACAGATTGTGTGGCATCTACACCCCAATAAATGTGTCCCTGTGGGAGTACTGAGGCCTGACACCTGAAAAATCACAGGGCAAAGGCCCACAGTGCACCCTGAGGTGGGAAAGGCCTGGCCACTCAGAATAAGCAGTCTGGCCGCATCAGACCGAGAGGGAGGGGGTTCCGGGCCCAGCTCTCTTTCCCGGCCTCTCGGGTACCTGCTCTGAGGAGGCCGAGGCCTGGCAGCTACTTTCGGGCTCTTACCAATGTTGCCTTTGATGGAGAGCCTTCCGCGCCCCGCGTGTAGACCTAGACCCCTGGAGGGGGGCCCGCCCTCTAAGGTGCTCACAGCAGCCTTAGATAGAGCCGGCCTGTGGTCCTGTATTTCCTCTTAATAACAACCACACTGGTGTTTAAGTGAGCCTGGCAAGGCTTACAAATGCACACATAAAGATTACCAACCACCTTCCCCAGAGCCAGACGAGGGAAGCTGAAGCTAAAACACCCCATGGGTAGTCAGAGGAGAGGACCGTCCCAGCTCATCCCCCTGTACCGTGTGCCAGGCATGATCTGAGCACTTGTACACATGCTAACTTATTAAAATACTTCTAACAATCCTATCAGGTTGGGACTACCATCACCCCACGTACAGACTGAAAAAAAGGAAACAGAATATGGTGTCCTCCTTGTGTTCACAAATTGGCAGAGACAGGACTTGAAGGCCACAGTCTGGCTCCCCAGTCCATGCCACACTTTACAGCCTCCGACTTCTCATGCTCATTCCTAGAGCCACCTGGGAAGGAGGAACCAGGCAACTAAAGACTGGGTTTGAATCACACTCCCCTTCTGACCAGCCGCGTGATCCCGAGCAAGGGACCTCGCCTCTCTGAGTCTCAACCTGCTCCGTTGCGAAATGGGAACATTAATGGGAACATCAGCCTTCAGCAACGCTGTGAGGAGTATCAGTGTAGCATGTGTGAATGGGCTTTGTAAACTCTGGAGTGTCCTGTGAGGTATAAACTATCCACTATTATCATTAGAGGGAGTTCATTTTATAACCTGCTCCCGCCTCTTGAACTTTGCTGTGCATCCCGTCAGTGCTGGATGATTTGGAACCAGCAGCTGGTCTATTTATGGCTGACAATCCCCAGGTCATAGGAAGACAGAGGCACCTGAGCCCCCGGGTGGCCACGGAGATAAGGTTCACGTCTCGATGACCTATGACATGGTGGTCACTGAAGGAACAGGCCCCCTCCCGCCCCTTCCACTAGTTACAACTGAAAAGCTTGGTTTCCCCAACACCCCGACCCAAGATCAACCCGACTCTTTGCCCAACGTTGGAGAAGTACCGGCATGTCCTGCAGGCCTGGCTGGCCCCCTCTGACCGTGTGTTGCCTCCTTCCACAGATCAGTGCCCTACAGCAAGGCTACAGCCAGGTGCTGTGCCAGACCCTGTCTGAGAGAAACTTAGAAATCACATCCCTGAAGAACGAGGCTGAGAACTTAAGGAGGGAAACCGCCATCACATCAGGTGAGGCCCTTCTGCATTTGGGCCCCAGGGCTTCTGCCCTCCCCCTGCAGACATCACCAGTCAACCACCACACCTGTGCCCGTGACCTGGGTGCAACCTCAGGGATCACCCGTGTCGGTGCATTAGAGTTCTCCCCCAGTGGAGGTTTCTTGCCACCCAGTTCCGAGGGCAGGGCCTGATAAATATTTGAGAGAATGTTATCTCTTGGCTACAAGGTCTCCTGAACACTGGCCCCACCAGGGAGAACACAGTTCGCCTTGTGGCTTGGGTGATTCTACAAACCAGCCTGAGTGCCAAGTAGAGCGTGGACAAAATGGGGTCACTCTTTTAAGGCACCCTTTGTCTCACCCATTTCAGCCGAGTGCACTTGGGCCCAAGTGAAAACATTTTCTAATTTTATCAGAGGTGGTTCCCTGATAAAGGGCTTGGGTGGGGAGAGGGGCAGCCAACACACAGCTGTGGCTGAGCTTCGATTCCCTGGATTCCTTCATTCCTTCAACATGTTTATTGAGCACCTACTAGGTGTCAGGCCCCGTTCCAGGCTCTGGGGAGGGAGAGCCAAGCAAGACAGTCAGATTCCTGTACTCGCAGACTTGGGAGGGGGTGACAGACAATAAAAGTAAACGGATGAATAAACAAGCCCACTTCAGAGAGCAGTGGTGCTGTGGAGAAAATAAACTGTGTGTCGTGGTGGCCAGTGCTTCAAGGGGGGAGGCCAAGGGAGAACAGCTTAGTGGGTGTGCAACCATGGAACTCAGGTGGGGCTTGAACCCGTGGGCTGGGACTCGAACCCAGTCAGAACCCACTATCTTTTAATCGAGATCTCACATCTGGTCTCGGGACTTAATAAAGCTCAGGTTCTTTATGTCTCATCGCAGAAAGAATTCAGTGAGAGACAAAGTAAGAAATGGATTTATTTAGAGAGAAACACTCCACAGACAGAGCGTGGGCCATCTCAGAAGGCTAGAGGCCCCCAAATATGGGGCGGTTAGTTTTTATGGGCTGGGTAATTTCATAGCCTAATGAGTGGGAGGATTATGAGAACTCTAATATTTTGGGGAAGGGGCGGGGATTTCCAGGAATTGGGCCACCGCCCACTTTTTTTTTTTTTTTTTTTTGTGGCCTGTCCCATTGCGGAGCACAGGCTCCGGACACGCAGGCTCAGAGGCCATGGCTCACAGGCCCAGCCGCTCCGCGGCATGTGGGATCTTCCAGGACCGGGTCACGAACCCGTGTCCCCTGCATCTGCAGGCGGACTCTCAACCACTGCGCCACCAGGGAAGCCCCACCACCCACTTTTCAACCTTTATGGTCAGCCTCGGAACTGTCCTGGTGCTGGTGGGTGTGTCATTTCGCTAATGTATTACAGTGAGCCTGTAATGAGGCTCAAGTTCCACTGCAAGTCGAATCTTACGCCCCCTTGGACCTAGCTGATTCTAACCAGTTTATGTTGTATCCTCAACGGCTACGCCCTTCTTTTAGAGCGGACCTGTTTCAGGTGGGCAAGGACAAACCAAGGGCAAGTGAGGCTGCATGGAGTGCACAAGGGATTGTGGGGCTGGGCAGGGTCGGGGGGTCTGGGCTTTTATTCTAAGGGTGTTGGGAATCCAGTGGAGTTTTTTAAGCAGAAACTGACATGTCTAGAGACCTGAAGAGGATGGGACCACTCACATACGAGGGGAGGGAGAGAAGCAGGTGACAGGGAGGAGGCAGTGAGCCTCGGAGGGGCACATCACTCTTAAAGCAGCCAGCGCGTGGCAGGAAACATACCCACAGCTGTAAAAGCCAGGCACAGCGCTGAGTCGCACGTGAATCACCATCTCCATGAATCTGCGCTTTTCTTCTGCCTCATTCTGCAACTTAATCACCCCCGCACCCCCTGCTGCCCCCAGGTCTCTGCTTATGCTCCGCCCTAACTTGGGATGTCCTCAGATATTTTCTGAGAACCTCCCCCAGGCTAGGTGCTGTTCTGGGCACCAGGAATGTTAAGGATGAACTCGCTGGTCCTCACCCTCCTCCCGTATGGCGGCCAGTCAAACCTCATCCAAGCATCAAGCCTGTCTCAGATCCCACTTTCCCCAATCAGGGAGTCGGGACAGACCTGGGTTGGGATAACGCTTGAGATGAGCTGGACCCACTCAAAGTGTGGCAAACCCCAGAGGGATTTCCAAGTAACTTAACCGTGTCCTGGAGGCAAAGCTCATTTTTAAAATGAAATTCTGGAACATTTTGTTCTTTATTTCATATACATTCTTGATTGACACCTGCCAATGAAACTGGGCCTAATGTTCTTCCAAGAAAAGAACCGTATGAGATAACCCAATACCACTGCATTTATGCACACTTCTTCCCACTTTTATTCAAAATGATACTGCAATGCAAGAGGGAAGAGATATGGGGACATATGTATATGCATAACTGATTCACTTTGTTATAAAGCAGAAACTAACACACCCTTGTAAAGCAGTTATACTCCAATAAAGATGTTTAAAAAAAGATACTACAGTAATGGAGTAGTTATCTATTGCTGCATAACAAGTTACCCCAAAATGTAATGGATAAAAGCCCAACCAATATTTATTACCTCACCCAGTTTCTGTAGTTCAGGAATTTGAGGGGGGGGTGACTTTGAGTTCTCATGAGTTGCAGTCAAGATGTCGGCTGGGGCATCAGTCATGTCATCTAAAGCCTCGGGGGGAGCCGGAGGATCCCCCTTCAGAATGGCTGCTCATGTGGCTTTTGGCTGGAGGCCTTAGTCCCTCAGCACACATGCTTCTCTCTAGGGCTGCTTGAGTGTCCTCACGACACGGCAGTTGGCTTCCCCCAGAGTGAGTGATTCAAGAGAGAGCAAAGAGGAGGCCACAGTGTCTTTTATGACCCAGCCTGGGAGGAAACATTCCGTCATTTCCACAGTATCATATTGGTTACCCATGTCAGCCCTATTCAGGGTGGGAGGGGCTACACAGGGCATGAATCCTAGGCGGCAGGGACCATTGGGGCCATTTTGGAAGCTGGCTGCCGAGAAACATAATAGGCGCCATGTAACAAACATAATTTAGCCACTTTGTGTGCTTGGGACATACCGTCTCATTTGACCCTTACAATAACTCTGTGCGGGACAGACAGTGGGAGGTGAAAGAGCTTGTCCAAGACCACCAAGCTAATAAGTGGTAGAGAGGGGTCCAACCAACCGCCCATCAACAGTGTCCAGCAGTGCCCTCTGCCACAAGCCCGTCTCCTGGCCTCTGGAGAAGAATTCCTGGACCTTCCCTGTGCTGCACCTTTGTTCCCCAGGCCCATGGTGTGGCCTCTCCTCCTGGCTTCACCTGGCCTGTGCCCACAAGGGGCCCCCAAAGGCTTCTTCTCTCACTGGTGCTGACTGCCCCTCATTCTCACTGAAGCCTCAAACCATGTTCCGTGGACTTTGCTCTCATTCCCATTCCTGCTCTGGGACCCTTGGAAAAAGCCTCCCCAGTTCTAGGCGGGCACCGGTGGTGGCCCAGGCTTGGAAGGTCTTGTCCGAACGTTGGCTGACAGCCGTGGTGTTGCCCATAATCCTTCCTGCCTCTTTGACCTCCATGAGTTTTTTGTTTTGGTTTGGTTTGGTTTTTTTACAGAGATGGTGTCATCTTTGCAAAGAGATGTGTTAGTAAAGGATGATCAAGTTCAACAACTAAAACAGGAGGTGACTCAACTAAAGAGTGAGAACAAAGAAAAGGATCACCAGCTCCAAGCCCTCAGCTCCAGAGTGAGTGTCGGGTCATCAGCAAATTGTAGCTGCGAAAAGCAGACACAGTGGAGTCACATGACACACGGTGGTGAGATGAGGCCAGTGCCCAGGGGCACAGGGAGGGTAGCTGCTGGGCAGGTGGTCAACTTCTCTGCAGCTTTTCAAAGTACAGCGTGTATGTGGCTCAGAATAAGCATAATATATATTCAAATCCAGCAAACATTTTCTAACCCCTATTATAAATTAGTTTGTTTGCTCCCAGCAACAAACACACCTATTAGCATATACTGCCATTGCAAAGTTTAATATTAAACAGAATATGATCTCTCTGTGAGCAAGGATGACCACACGGCTGCATCATGGTCCCAGCACCACTGGTTCTCTTAATTGCCTTCAAAGCAGAATGTTTGAAGATCCAGGTGCAAACACGCAGACTCTCATTTCTTCCTTAGACTTTAGTGTGTAGAATTTCTCTATGGAAAATGAACGTGGTAGGCAAGCAAAGAGCTTTTTACATGTAACTTTGACTATTTGCAAATCTTGCCTTCAATGCTAACTTCAGAATCCTGGCTCTATAGGATAAGATTTCTCAGTATTTGTATGATGTGTCTGTTTCTGTGAGTCAAGGTAAAACCTCAAAGCTTTCATCTCAGGTGGCAACTCAGAGATTCCCAGCGGCTACCCGATAGCTAGGTCTGCATGGGGGTGGGGTGAGAACAGATCTTGAGGTTCCAAGGAAAAGGCACAATAAGTAATACCTGGTACGTAGTACCACACCCAGTTTGGAGCTGGTGAAAGGCACTGCATGAGCTTTGGGATCAGACAGACCAGGGTCCAATCCCAGAGCTTTCTTTGATTGTAACTTATTTGGCCTCCATTTCCCCATCTGTGAAATGGGGATGACAAAATCGTTTTCTGAGACGTGGGAGGCTGGTTTTAGTTGTGCTCATCTGCCTCTGCCCCAGGTCAGCTGCCTGGCCAAGCCCTCTGCATTCGTTTCTCCCAAGCAGAGTGTCTTCCCACACATGTGCTATAGCTGTTTTATGTGGTGTGTGTGTGTGTGTGTGTGTGTGTGTGTGTGTGTGTGTGTGTGTTGGGGACGGGAAGGGGATGCAGAGCTGGTGCTAAGTAGAAGGAATACGCAAAGACAGCACCTGCTTGGCTCTTCTACCTCCTGAAGTGCATTTGGATGATTTATGTCCCCATTTCCCCTTCCTCATCGACCTTGGAATGAGGTCCCTTCTCCTCTAGCCTGTGCTGGCCAATAGCACAAGGGCTCGTCACCACCAAGGGTACTGCTCTCGTGAACATTTGAGATGCCTTTTTTTTAATGACATACATCATGTGTGTTAATTTTAGAAAAATAAGTAGATGACATTGAAAAGAAAAAATAAAAAGAGAGGAGAGGAAATGCTACCTTGAGAAATCAGTGTTAATATTTTCATGTATGTTCTTCCAGTCTTGTTTCTATATATTGCCTAGAAATCAATCAATCATTTTATAGTGAATTTATACAATGCACATTTTTTAAATTTTTAAATACTTACTATTTTCCCGTGCTAATAAATCAACGCTCTTATCATTGGTCATAAAAGCTACATACTTTCTCCTGGATGTACCCAGTGTTATAAAGTGGTCTGCTGTTATAAACAACACTTGGGTTGTTTCCTCTTTTTTTTTTTTCTTCCACTGTTACTGACAATTCTGTGAAGAGCATCCTTGAAACTACAGATTTACTTATTTCTCCAGCCATTGTCCTTAAGGTACATTCCTAAAGTGGGAATTGCTGGGTCAAAAGAAGGCACATCCATCCTTATGCCCTTAATGCCTGTTGCCGAGCCGCCCTCGGGAAAGACAGCTCCGTTTACCCCTCCACACCAGTCGGGGCAGTTGTGTCTTTGAGATGCAACCTGCACAAAAGCCCTAAGATGGACCCGGGCTCACGGGTTCCGCCCCCTCCACCCTCACCGGCCACAGAGCGAAAACATCCCAATCCCTGCACCCTAAGCACCCAGACTCTACAATGCTGCATTTCCCCTGCGGTGAAGTTTGCTGGTTTTTGAAGAGGAATTTAGACGCTCTATTTCTCAGAACTCATGAGAGGGGTGAACTGGAAACGACTGCAGGATCCCGTGCTCCCATCACACAAATGGTCTCGCCTCTCAGAATTCAGAGGTGTGATTGGGTTATACAGCAGGAAACACTCCTGGGCGTGAACACAGGGACTTGGGAGCCCCAGCCAAGCCCCCGTGGCCTTGTCCTTTTTCTCCACAGTGCTCAGTGCTGAAAGAAGAGTTACAGAAGGAAGATGCCCAGAATGAGCACTGGGAAGCCCAGGAGAAAGAGTTAAAACTCTGCAAAACCGTGCGTTGAACCTCCTCACCCCTAGGTGTCCACTGAAAGCCTAGATTGTGACCTTCAGGGTTTTGGAGGGGTTCCGTGGCCCATTAGCTAGCACAAGCTCTGGGGCTTTCCGGGTGTTTGTCTGTTAATGTAGTCTCATAATTCTTTGATTTGCTAGCCTCAAAGAGATGGGTGAAAAGACCATGGAAAACATGCTCTCCCCAGATTTTCTGGGCAGTTGGCTCAAGGCCCCTCATCAGATTTTCCCCTGGGTAAAGGGAAGAGGGTGGCCACCACATGCTGCTAGAAATTCACCGTGGTCCCTACCCCCGGACTTGTGATGCCCAGACTTTCATGATCCACTGTCACAAGTTTCATCACAGCCCTGAGCACTGTTACTAACACAACTCTTCTTTACGTATTTTTACTTAAATACATTCAATTTTACACCAATTCATAAAAACAAAATAAAAAGCAAATGTATCACTGGCCTTGTATGGAAGGTGAACATAAAAATGCATACAATGAAAAGATGACCACTAAATGTAAATGTTCACCCCCTGTACCAGCCGAACCCTCGTGCACATCACCAGGCATACGTTTTCCATCCGTTGGGAAGGACGGTGCCTGGGACAGGGGCAGGAGACGTGTGCTCTTCTCTATGTCAGGAGCACACCTCTCTGCCTCAAATGAGAAAAAAGAAAAATTTCATTGTTCTTTTCTTCCAAACTGTGCCCATTTGTGTCTTCCAAACAGCCCTTATTTAGATTGGACTCAAAAATATACCCCAAGGAAAGAGATTCTAATGAGTGGATAGGTATCTTGTACTGTTTAATCCAGGATCCATGCTGATCTTCAAAAGAAACTCAAAATTTCCCTCACCCAGCACTTTCATTGCATCCGTTGAAAGAAAGTCTACTTTGCCTTAAAGATGTAGAATTGGCCCCCAAGGGAAGGAATTAAGCGAATCCCAGACTAGGTTTCTGCCTTAATGAACCGGATGAAATGAGTGATGAAGTTGACTTCCCTGTTGTTGGAACTCTTTTCAGCAAATCCATGACATGGAGAAAGAAATGAAGAAGCTCAGGGAGGAGCTGAAAAGGAGCAGTACCGAGCAGAGCTTGATCTCTAAGACGCTACGGGAAAAGAGCAAGGTATGGCGGGGACAGGTCGGCCTGGCAACCACTCTGGGGCAAGCACTCCACCTGCATCATCTCTGTTAATCCTCACAATGACCCCATGCGGTCTATACTGGTGTTAACCCCACTTTACAGTCGGGAAAACTGAGGCTCACAGAGGTGAAGGAAGTTAACCAAGTTCACTTGCATAAAGTAGTTGTGGCAGAACTTGAATCCAGGCCTGCCTGACTCCAAAGCCCCCGTGTGTAACCACTACCCTAGACCGCCTTCAAATCTTAATTGTGAAATTATCTAAGAAAGAATTGATCCATTCAAGCAAGTTTGCCAATGATGTTGTTCCAACTTTAAATTCTCATATTGATTTTTTTTTGTCTTTTTGTTCCATCAGTCATTGAGAATGTTTTTAAAAATCTCAACATGTTTGTAATTTGTGTGTTTCTTCTTTTAATATTAACGATTTTTGCTTTATATATTTTGAGGCTGTGTTACTAGGTGCATATAAATTTAGAATCCTAATACTTCCTGTAGAACAAAACTTTTGATCAGCGTGAAATGTCCCTTTTCATCTCTAGTAGTGTTTCTCCCTTAATGTCTTCTTTGTCATTTAGCTTCATTACTGGCTTTCTGTTGGTTAGAGTTTTCATAGCATATCTTTTTCATACTTTCTCTGTCAATTTTTGTCTTAAGTTTTAGACATATGCCTTCCAAATAGCGTATCGTTTTTACAAAATCCAGTTTGACAATCTTTGACTTTTAGTCCATTTATATTATGTAATTACTCATGTGCTGGGGTTTAAATCTACCTTAATGCTCAGTACCACTTGTACCATCTGTGCTATATTCCTTTTTCTCTCCTTTCTTGCCTCCTTCTGAGTGGATGGTTTTCTCTCATTCCACTTTCCCCCTCTATTAGCTTGGAAATATTTCACTTTTTTTACTATTCTTTTAGTAATAGTAAGACAATAGCATTCATCCTTGACTCACCAAAATCACACATTAATTAAGTTTTTCACTCTTCTACTATTCTCTTAGTAGTCGTCCTAAAGACTACAATACTCATTCTTAACTTACCAAGAGGCAATAGTAGTTGATAATTACACCCTTCTCCTTGACAGTGCAATGAGTTTCAAACACCTTAACTTCACTTACCTCCTCCAGATTTATAAGCCATTGCTGTCATTTTCTAAACTCCTCTTGATAGTTAAAACCCCAAAAGACATTATTAGTGTTTTTCTATAGTCAGTATCATATCCACACATTACCCTTACTGTTGCTTGTCTTTTCTGCCTCTCTGATCATCCATCTGCGTTCATTTTTCTTGTGTCTGAAGAATACCCTTTAGTGTTTTCCCTCACTGTGGCTCTGCTGATGACAAATTCTCACATGTGCCTGTGTGTCTGTCTGGAGATGTATATTTAACCTTCATTCTTAAAACACATTTGACTGCGTATTGAATTCTACAATGGCAATTCTTTTCTTTCAGCACATTAGAGATAGCGTTAGATATGTCACTATTGTCTCGTGGCTCCTATTATTTCTAGTTAGAAGTCATCTGTAAGCCTAACTGTTGTACCTTTGCATAATCTGTCTTTTTCTCCGGTTGCTTTTAAGATCGTCTTTTCCCTTCATTTCCAGCAGTTTTTTTTATGGTTTATCTAGGTGTGGATTCATTTTTGTTTACCTCGTTCAGAGTTCGTAGGGGCTTCTTGAATCCCTGGCTTGGTGTTTTGCCTTCGTTCAGGTGCTTGGGCTCTGTACCCCATAGGCAGTGGGGAGCTACTAAGGCTTCTGAACAAGGGACTGATGCAATGACATTCGTGGACAGTAATAAGGGTGAAAATGATAGTTACAATTTCTCATGTACTAGGCATTACCCCGAACATTTCATCTCTTCATCTTCACAGCAGCGCTGTGACCTAGAAATCATCCTCCCCATTTTACAGATGAGGAAGTCAAGGCTACTAGTTACTAGTACAGGAACTAGCCCAACTGCACAGTCGGTTTTGTCTGACTCCGGGTTCGTCGGACTTCAGTTACCCTGGCGTAGCAAACAGCCACATGCTACCGTTTACACTGAAATTAATCAAAATTAAATAAAATTTTAAATTCAGCTCCTCCGTCACACCAGCCACGTTTCGAGTGCTCGATACGCAGATGTGGCTGGTGGCTGCCGTATTAGACAGCACAGCCTCGCTCAGAGTACCTGTATCGTTGCAGAAAGTTCTGTTGGACAGAGCTGCCTTACAGCTGGGTAACTCTCACAGTACCGTTAAGATTGCACTGGAAGAAACTGAACTAGAGGCGAGGAGGCCAGTTGTCACAGGCCAGCTTGCATGTGAGAGGGATTGGAGGACAGGCGTGAGACCACCGAGTGTGAGAGAGGGAGCAGGGCGGCCGCTGAAGGTGACTCTGAGGCTTGGGGATGGGAATGGGGGCCGTTTATGGAGAACACAGATAAGGGCAGAGTCCAAGGTTGGACTTGGCTTTTGCAGCATATGAAAAAGGCTGCTGAAATAGAAGTCAGAGCGTGTTTAGACCTGGGAGAAAACTAAGGCCCAGAGAGGTTAGGTGACTTTTCCAAGGTAACGGAGCTGAGAGGCTCTTCCACTGCACCACACTACTCAGAAGAAAGCTCTTAAGGGCTTTTCTGGGCCTTTTATTACATCCCTGTGATCCCCCTCTTCAGATCCCTAATAAACAGCCTGTGAATTGGTTTCAGCACAGAATCTTTCCATTTATTTACGAGACTTTGCCTCATTTCCTGTTAGTGCCAGAGCCCAGGGCTCAGCAGGTGCGTCCAAGAATTGAGCAGCTGCGAGGCCTACACTGGCCAGCAAAGGGTAGCGTGGAGCATTCCCAAGCTTATCGCGCGTTGACTGTTACCCAGGCAAGGGGGGGAAAGTAGGCCAGCTTCTCCACTTTTAAACGCCTTCCTTTGCAGGCTGCAATTCTTAACAGACATTGCTTTAGCAAGCCTGCAGAGAGGTTTCCACCAGTGAGGGTGCTCAAAGTGGTAACGACAAATAGTCATGATAATAAACCCAATAATAACATTTCCAAGTACCCATCACGAGTTATTAGAACGAGACTGTTCGGCGGACATTCCCGTCCACCTTTCATAGGTTACAACAGTACTTAACACACTCACAGAGCCCTTAAGCACTATTCCAAACACTGAATCCCCACAATAACTCTGTGCAGTGGTACGGGTATCATCATCCCCATTTGACAGATGAGGACACCGAGGCACGGAGCAGTGAAATAACTTTCCCAGGGTCGTATGGCTTGTTAGGGACCGAGCTGGGATTGGAGTCCGCGGTAGAACATAGCTGAGCCCAGGGTGCAGAGCTCGACCCTTTCCTGTAGGGAGCGACTCCCTGTGAGTTTGCCTCCACCCCGTGCGTGCCTGTGACCCGTGCCACTGTGCTGCAGCTGTCCCTACCCCTCAGGGACTCCCCCACTGCCATTAGCCCCCCCAGAAGAGTTTCCCCAGAGGGCATGATGGTCACATTAGCAGCAAAGCCCACGCTTTCATCATCCTTTCAGGTTGAAGAGAAGCTTCAGGAGGATTCCAGAAGGAAATTGCTTCAGCTGCAAGAAATGGGGAGCAGAGAAAACCTCATTAAAGCCAATTTGGAAAGGGCAGTAGGTCAGGTAGGCGCGCTGCAGAGCCGCTTCACGGGCCCGTGCTCTCCACGGAATCCCGCACCCAAGCGGCCGGCAGGGATGAGAGAGGAGGAAGACGGCCTGGTTCAGTTCACCCGCTTATCTCAGGGGCAGGGCTTTGTGCGGTTTCCACGTCCCCAGTGGACGTCACTAAAGAGGCTTTTCCTTCTGGGAAGCTGCCCACTCCAGTGTCTGCTGTTGCCTGGGACCCTGACCAAGCAGCCGGTCCCAGCTCATAGGCCCGCCCCCGTGAACCAGCTGTGCGCTTCCCTCTTGAGAAGGGTTTGAGCTCTTGAGCCCAGTGGTGTTTCTAGCACTTTCTCCTTCACATTTTTTGTCCTGACATTTACAGCGATCTTTCTGCCTCTGGGCCCCCAAACAGATGCTACAGTCAGTGTCCCCAGGGAAATGCCACATTTCTTTTTGTTTGTTTGTTTGTTTTGTTTTGTTTTGTTTTGTTTTGTTTTGTTTGGCCAAACTGCGTGGCTTGCAGGATTTTAGTTCCCCGACCAGGGATGGAACCCGTACCCCCTGCAGTGGAAGCACGGAGTCTTAACCACTGGAGCGCCAGGGAAGTCCTGCCACTTTTCTTAATAAATTAAAACCCAGAATACCACGGCTTATGCCAGATGGAGATGGGCAGGGTGGGGAGAGGGCCATTTCCCAGGGCTCTGACCCAAGATGGCCCAGTGGCCCTTCCTCTTACACGTGGCACAGACATGAGGGCCAGAACATGCAAACGAGCCTTCACCAGAGGCTAAGGGAGAGCAAACGAGAACCCAAGATGGGGCACTGGCCCTCCAGAACACGGCCCACCGAGGGCAGCCCATCTTGGACCCCTCCGCAAGGCATCCTCTCCTGGCAGCCACGGCCCCAGGGGGACCAAGAACGTTTTGCGCGCATGTGTTTGTGCTTTTCTCTTTCTGGGGGAGTGAGTCCACCTCGTCACTCACTGGACTCTCAGAAGCATCTGTAAACCACCAAAAAGGGTTAGGAACCACAATCCTTAAAGGAGCCCTCCATCCCACCCAGCCCAGCTCCCAAAGCCCTGCCGTTTGGCAGCATCCAAGTCTGAACCATCAGTGTGACCAGAATTTTTCCCACGCGCTGAACTTCAGAGGCACCCACAAGTTAAATGATGATGCTGACCCTCAGGCGGGTTTTAAAGCCTCTTCAACCAATTTCCACACCATCACCCCTGGTGTCCTTTCTCCTTCAGGGTGCCGATCCCTCAGCAAGGCAGAGAGCCCGCCAGTCTGGGCTTCCCTCTATGCACCTGGGCTACCCCTCACCTTGCTGGCACTCTGCACCCACGGCACACACCTGCTTTGAGGGCATGATCTGCGCCACTTGCCGAGGGCCTGGTCATGGCTCTGACCAGGGGTCATCCAGGAAGACCCTCAGAGACACTGAGATTCCTCCAAGTCTAGACTCGAGAGAGAAAGGACGAACGAGGCTTCTCTGCGCTGCCTGGGCTTTCCTGCTTCACCCCCTTGTCTCCACGGCCCGCTCCCGGCCTGAGGTCCTGCCCTTCCCCAGGCCAGTGACCACAGGACTCAGCCCATCGTCCAGCAGGACCTGTCCCTCCCTACCCCCACCCCCCCGCCAAGCAGTCCCGTAGGGCGCCTCTGGTGGTAATGCGGGCCATCATCCACAGGGCCCTCTCTACATAGCCTCTTCCTTGGGCGAGCTAGGACCCTCCCTTGGCCATGAAACCAGCAGACGACACAGAGTCCCTCCAATAACCCATCTGGCTTCCGGCAGGATGACTGCAGAGGTGTCCTTAGGAGAGTCACAATTCCTTTGCTTGGCTTCCCAGAGCTCCCTGGTGTGCAGCAGACTCCTGTGTCTTGGGACCTGTGGACGTTCTCATTGATTCAGTGGCCCTTATGGTCCTTCAGGGCTCTGTTATAGAGCCTTTCATGACCACATTTTGCCAGTGAGCCAAAAACCCAGGCCAAGGGCCATCGTGTTGGTAAATTTCCAGAGAAACTTGGGCTTCTTTGCTGTTCAGGTCTCATGAGCCTGGGGCATCTTGAACTCGTCATTCTCGAAGCCCTGATTTAATTTAACTGCGTTGTTTCATCATCCATAATATGAAGACACCAGCACCAGGGAGGCACTCATTAAAAACTGGCTGAACTGAAGTAGAGGACTTGGAACATCTGACCTGACAGACGTTTCTGTTATAAGCATTCGATGAACATGTACTGAGTGCCTGCTGTGTGCCAAGCACTGCACCAGGCTCCGGGGACCTGGAGAGGAATACAGGAGACGTCGTCTTCAGGACACAAGGTCTAAGGCACAAAACGGCAGCAGGCAGCACCTCCTTCTCTCCCCAGGCGCCCTTGCTGATTATACGCGTTACTCAGGCTGACAACCTCGATATTTATCTCACAGCCTGCTGCCAACGCAACAATCGCGGAAGAGCGCTCCTGGCCCTGGACTTCCCACTGGATAATCTTCCGAGAGCCCGAGACGTGTGTGTGTGCTGACCATGTGCGTCGGCTAGGTTAGGCGGGCACACCTGAAAAGTCATTAGAGCCTGCTGTCCCCCTCTCTTGTGTGGGCACTGCCCCTTCCGGTGAGAGGTGAAGGTGTTAATTACGCATAATGACCACTAAAGGCGTGCAGAGCCTTCTCACCGATTTCTCCCAGACCCAGCGATGGAGGCGCCTCCCCCACCCTTGCGGCTGCAGCTGCACCGCTCACCTCATCCCCTTCCCTTTCTTTGTGCTGCAGCTGGAGCTTTTCAGAAGTCAGGTCATCAAGGCCACCTATGGACGCGTGAAACCGTTCCAGGACAAACCCGTCTCCGATCAGCAGGTTCGTCTCTCTTCCCCGCTTTCTCCTTCAGGGACCCGGGACTCCAGACACTGGGAGCATATGTTTCTGTTTTTTGTTGGTGGCACATATTTTTCACACTGTTGCCACACCATAAAGATTTGTTATGATTTTCTGGGACTTCCTGGCTTTTAAAGTAAAAGCCAGTTAAACTCCCTTGCAGTGTTTCTGTGAAAATCAAATTAAACCACCCAGGACCGTGTCTGGTCTCCAGACCTGCACGGTTAACCTCTGTTAGTCCCGCAAGGAAAGGGGCGGCCTCAGCATGGACGGTGCGTCCTCGCTCGCTCGTTCCTTCTGAAGAGGCATATGGCAGTGAGGATGGGCCTCTGGCTGTAACAATTGCCTTATTATTCTTCCGTTTATCCTCTCCAACCCTGGGTGTCAGCGCGCGGGTCAAAAGATCACACCACGGGCTTCTCTTGGAGAACATCCTTTTTAGGGGCCCACAGCATCAGGCTCAGCGTGATGAGTCACTCCCAGAATGCAGAAGAATCTAGAACACACTCGTGGCCACATGACAGGCCTTTGGCTCTTAAAAACCATCTCTGATCCTGGGAAACATGCCCTGGTGACAGAGCCGACATCCACCCTCCAGAGCCATCGCCAAAACATGCCAGGACCTCCCTCCTCTGAGTTTAAGCTGAAGCCCTCCAGGTCCTCTCCCCCCAGAGCCACCCTGCATTTTAATTTATTTATTTATGGCTGTGTTGGGTCTTCATTTCTGTGCAAGGGCTCTCTCCGGCTGCGGCGATCAGGGGCCACCCTTCATCGCGGTGCGCAGGCCTCTCACTATCGCGGCCTCTCTTGTTGCGGAGCACAGGCTCCGGACGCGCAGGCTCAGCGGCCATGGCTCACGGGCCCAGTTGCTCCGCGGCATGTGGGATCTTCCCGGACCGGGGCGCAAACCCGCGTCCCCTGCATCGGCAGGCGGACTCCCAACCACTGCGCCACCAGGGAAGCCCCACCCTGCATTTTAAATCTTTTTTTTTTCTTTTTCTCACCAGTTAATAGAGAAGATCACCAGGGTCACAGAGGACAATATCAACTTTCGGCAGAAAAAGCGGACCCTGCAGAAGGAGACCCAGCTCAGCAGCTGCGAACAGGAGGAAATGACAGAGAACATCGTGAAGCTGAAGACATCCTTAGACAGTTGCCAGGTGCCCCCTTCTCCATTTCTCAGATGTCCCCTGTGTCTCATTTTTGTGCTCCTTGTTCAGGAAATTGTCCAGCTCTGCTTTTAGTCCACCTTTTCTCTTGTTGGAGAAATCTGTTTGGGATCAGAAAGAAAAGGACCTCCAGAAATGCCTCCCAGGTGAACTTGGTGTGGCCAAGGAGAAGCTGCCCGACACACTCCAAGCATTGCCTTTGGGAGGCCCCAGACCCCGAGGAAAAAAACAGCCCCGTGTTATTTCCAGAGAAACCAAAGAAACATTCTGCTCTTTATTTGCATTCTTCTTTTCTGTCCCAGCAGCGGAAGGCTGCTCTTAGCCTTGTTGCCTTTGACTTTGGAGGAGATGGGACCAGAGGGTCTGGCAGAGCCCCCACTCCGTGGCCCCCACGCAGGGATCCAGCTTATCCCATCAGGCAGCTGCTTCTGCTTTCTCTGGAAATACGCAGCTACTATTTGGGGAGTCTGTGCAAATGTTGGCTTGTCAGCACTCTTTCAAATCAGGAAGCCGCACTTTATGACCAGCCTGTGTGTTGATCTCAGCAGGAATTCTGTAGCCAGATTTGGTTCTCGTTTCAGCCAAATCGTCCTTGGCAATTTGGCTTTGGAATTGCCTCTACCTAAACAAAGGGTCTCTTTGACCATCCAGAGTCCAAATTAGAGTGCACATGAAATAAAAGCTGCCTCCTTCCTTCCGCCCCCCCAAAAAACGCAAGTAGAACTGGGCCGTCACAGGGCGGCCAACATACGGCGCTGCCTGCTTCACGGGCACGTCAGGAACTCTGCTCTTCGTGGGTCACAACCGTCAGGTGCTATTTCTGGCGATGGTGCCTGGGCTCCTCACGACCTCATCTCTTTCCAGGCGTGCATGAAAATGTCTTGCTGTAGCGATGACCTGAAGAAGGAGGTCGACCTCCTGCAGCGCCTGCAGGTGAGCCCACCTGTCTCAGGGCTCCAGAAGGTGGCGCTGGACATCTTGCGCCTGTCACTGTCCTGGCTGGAGGAAACGGAGCATCTCCTCCACGAGGTGGGGATCCAGTTCTCCAGCTCCGACAAAGGTGATTGCAACTCTTTTCTCACATAGTTGCATGACTGAAATATTGCGCTGAATCTGATCACGATGGGACATCTGTTGAGGGAGACTTCTTAGGTATGTGGCCAAGTGTTCCCTTCTCCAGACTTCACTTTGCTTCACCACTTGAGAAGCAGTGTTCCTGGAAAAAAGTACACAAGTGAGACGTGATTAGTGGAGAAAAATGAGACGCAACAGAGGCAAAAGGAAAAATCGAAACTATGCTAAATCTTCTCTCTCAGAAGTAACCATATATATACATACATAGAGTAGAGACTTCTTTAGAGCAGTTTTATGTTCATGGCAAAATTGAGAGGATGATACAGAGATTTCCCAGGTACCCCCTGTCCCCACTCATACACAGCCTCCCCCATTATCAACATCAGCACCAGAGAGGTACAGTTGTTAGAACTGATGACCCTACATTGATGCATCATGATCACCCAAAGTCCATGGTTTACATTAGGTTCACTCTTTTCTTTTAATTTTAATTTTATTGGAGTGTAGTTGATTTACAGTGCTGTGTAGGGTTCACTCTTGGTGTTGTACATCCTATGGGTTTGGACAAATGTGTGATGACATGTATCCACCATTATAATGTCATACAGAATCGTTTCACTGCCCTGGCCTTTCTCGCCTTCTGAGATGGCCCACGCTCTGTCTGTGGAGTGTGTTTCTCTCTAAATAGATCCACTTCTTACCTATCACTTTGGCTCTCACTGAATTCTTTCTGCGATGAGACATCAACAACCTGAGCTTCATTAAGTCCTGAAACCAGCAGGTCCACCAATAATGAGGCCAACCCCAGAGAGGACCCAGAGGCCTTGTAAATCACGATGCTCCACCGGGAAGATGGTCCAGTTCTGAAGGTGCCTTTGACCCCAAATCTACTGCCATAAGCAGAAGCCAGGGAGCACGGTGGGGGATGTGGTTCAGATCAGACCATCTCTGAGCAGATTGGTGGATTCTGTGCACAAAGCCCTGGTATTAGGTCAACTCGATTTATGAGTTTCACTTCTCAGGTCACTCTATAACTACATAGTAACAGAAAGTACAGAGAATTCATTAAAAGCCACCGTGGAGTCCATAGAGGGGAAGTGGGGTGGGTGAAGTTACAGATCAGGGACATGGGAATAAAGCAAAATGATGATAACCCATAAACCAGAATATCTAGAAACTGATATTCTAGAAATTGAGGAAAGTAAAGCTACAAGTTTAACAAAATAAAAAGAAGCAAAGGAGAAGCCAACTTCAAAGCCAGCCTATGCAGTTCCTCCGCGGCAGCGCACGTCTGTCTGACTGAAGCCTGGCCCTGCTGTTCCTCACTGCCTTCCTATTAGTGTCTTAAGCAATCAGCATCTCCAGTAACCCCCCCTGCAGTGTTCAGGAATTCACCTCGTCATGGGGAGACTTGTGGTTTGAGGACTTATGTTTTTTGGAAAACTTTTCTTTTCAAAACTGGACATTTTTATTCCAAATAAAAGAAACTTATCCAAAAAAAAAAAGAATAGTTTCACTGCCCTGAAAATCCTCTGTGCTCCCTCCCCGCGCCCCCCCAGCCCCTGGCAACCACAGATCTTTTTACCGTCACCATAGTTTTTGCCTTTTCCAGGATATCATGTAGCTGGAATCATACAACTTTTCAGATTAGTTTCTTTTATTTAGTAATATGCATTTTCGTTTCCTCCAAGTCTTTTCATGGCTTGATAGCTCTTTTTTTTTTTTTTTAAGTGCCAAATAATAGTCCATTATCCATTCACCCACTGAAGGACATCCTGGTGGCTTCCAAGTTTTGGCAGTTACGAATAAAGCTGCCATAAACGTCCACGTGCAGGGTTTTGTGTGGACATGTTTTCAATTCCTTTGAGTAAATACCAAGGGCGCGATTGCTGAATCGTGTGGTTAGAGTACATTTAGGTTATTTTTTTAATTCATTAATTTTATTTTATTTATTTTTGGCTGTGTTGGGTCTTCATTGCTGCGCGCGGGCTTTCTCTAGTTGCCGTGAGCAGGCGCTACTCTTCCTTGCGGTGCACGGGCTTCTCATTGCAGTGGCTTCTCTTGTTGCATTGCATGGGCTCTAGGCACGCAGGTTTCAGTAGTTGTAGCACGTGGGCTCAGTAGTTGTGGCTTGCGGGCTCTAGAGCACAGGCTCAGTAGTTGTGGCGCGCGGGCTTATTTGCTTCGCGGCATGTGGGAACTTCCCAGACCAGGGCTTGAACCCGTGTCCCTTGCATTAGCAGGCGGATTCTTAACCACTACGCCACCAGGGAAGTCCCTAGGGTACGTTTAGTTTTTAAGAAAACCACAAAACTCTTTTCCAAAGTGGCTGTTTTGCTTTCCCACCAACAATGAATGAGAGTTCCTGTTGCTTCACATCCACGTTAGCGTTTGGTATTGTCACTACTATCATATTTTGTGTGTAACTTCCAAGGCATTTTCCCATGGAAAGAGCTGTGTGATTCTAGGCAAGTTACTTCCCCTCTCTTTGCCTGTTTCTTTACCTGTAAAATGGGGATAATCGGGAATACTCAGCCCTTAGGATTGTTGTGAGGGTTAAAATGCATTGATACATGTAAAGTACTTAGAATAGTACCTGGCATAAAATAGGCACTACCTATATACATGTATTGATTTTTTAACTTTACAAAAGAATAATGTCATATCATACCCAATTTCCTTTAGTTTCGTTCCTAACAGTACATCAGGAACACCCTTCCATGTCAATACACACAGATCTACATCATCGCTGTCACTGATGGCAAGGAATCCCATTCTGTAGGATGTACCATAATTTATTTAGCCAGTCCTCTATCATGGGCATTTAAGTTGTTTCCAGTTTTTCACGCTTAACAGATGAGGCTGACATAAATATTATTCACGCATACCTGTTCATCTTATCTTTATCATCCTAGATGTGGAAGGATATGAACCACTTTCATTCAACAAAGATTTATCGCAGGCCTCCTAGATACCAGGCACAGTGCAGGATGGAGATATAATGGGGTCAGAAACAGGTAGAATCCAGGTCATGGGGTATATGGATGTTGGCTGTAAAATTCCTCCCTCTTCCCTGTACATTTGAAATCTTTCATAATAAAATATTGGGGAGCTAACAGGCACTATCCCTGCGCTTGTAGATCTTACGGTCTCAGGGAGGAATAGGGTGGGGCATTAAGTGAAAAATCACTCACATGTAAAACTTTAATCGTGACAGTTGCTTTGAAGGAGAAGTGCAGGGCTCTGACCTGGTCAGGGACGGCAGGGCACCTGCAGGATGCATAGGAGTTATTTGCCAAAGAGGGGAGGGGAGGGCATTCGCATGGTGGGGCCGGGGGCTTGCAGAGCCCTGGTAAGAAGCTCTGCTTTAATCTGAGAGCAGAGAGAAGCCCATGAAAGGTTTTAAGTAAGGAACTGGTGGAACAGGCTTGCATTTGGAGACAGTCATCTTGGCCACGAGTGGAAAATGTACAGGAAGGTGGCCAGCACAGAACCCCGGGAGAGCAGTTAGGAGGCTGTCACAAGACACGATGGTGGCCCTCACTGTGGCAATGGAGGGGATGGAGCAAGAGAGAAGATTCCAGGGGCATTTAAGAGATGAATCAACAGGCCTCAGTGATGGAGTTAGATGTGACTAGAAGGGAAGTGATGGAGAGAAAGGGGGCTACAGATCTCCAGGTTTCTGGCTTGTGTTAAAAGTACAGATGTGGTTCCTTCACTAAAATCCAGAGTAAGGAATGCCGCAGGAGGACCAGGTTTGAGGGGGAAGATGAGTGTGAGGTGCCTGTAGACATCCAAAGTGAGGTGCCAAGGACGCAGCTGTCACCCTGGATATCCAACCATATCAGTGATGTGGCCCCGGAACCCAGAAGAACATGTGCCACATAGCGGGTGCTTAGTCAGATGGGATGGACGGACGGGTGGATGGATGGATGGTGATTAAAGCCATACGTGTGAATGGTATCGCTAGGAAGAAAGTATTGAATGAGAAGGGAGAGCCCAGGGCCACACCTGGGAAACTCCAACATTTATTGTTGATCCTTCTTGCCAGATCGCTCTCCAGAGGGGCTGTACAAATTTGACATTCTTACAATAATGAATAGAGGAGTGGTTTTCAACTCAGGTGATTAAACAACCCCAGCCAGGATATCTGTAAAGTAATCCAGAAGGTGGTGTGAACTTCTTTTAAATGTCTTTAAAAAGAAAGGCAAAATCAAGATTAACTTTTCTGTAAGTGCCTGCCCCTCACAGATAGCATAGAGAAGAGGGGGGCTGGATTTCTCCCAGCAACCCAGCCCCTCCCCAACCCCAGTATTACTGTTGTTGTAATCATGGCAGAGCCTGAGTGTGCATGAAACCAGGAGAGACGTGGCCCACAGTTCTAGCTGTTCTTCAAAATCAGAACTAAAACAAGGAAAGACCATGATCTCTATCCTAGTAATAGCGGGGCCAAGCAATGTGTGCACTGTCCCCTCCCCAGACTTCAGGAGTCACTGAAGCCTCTGTCTCTAAATCTACTCATACGTTACCATAAAGAAACATGGGTTGCAAAATTAAGCCATCAGGGGCTTCCCGGGGCTTCCCTGGTGGCGCAGTGGTTGAGAGTCTGCCTGCCGATGCAGGAGACACGGGTTCGTGCCCCGGTCCGGGAAGATCCCACATGCCGCGGAGCGGCTGGGCCCGTGAGCCATGGCCACTGAGCCTGCGCGTCCGGAGGCTGTGCTCCGCAACGGGAGAGGCCACAGCAGTGAGAGACCCGCGTACCACACACACACACACACAAAAACAGGTCTCTGCAGAATCCCTCCTGCACTGATACGCACTATGGATCCACAAGGAGGGGATAAAGAATGCGATGTTCCCAAAATACATTTCTCCTTTCTTGCTGCCCTTACCCCCAGCTAACAACTCTTGGAAAATGTTCTACAGAGCGCCTGTTGGGGAAACACAGACTGTGTTCTGTGATTACAGCTACTTGGTTCTAAGAGGTCGAGAGGAAGGATGGAGGGCACTAGAGAAGTTGGTGAGGACGGCCCATTCTTTATTCATTCATTAGGAGAGGAAGTTGGTGGTAAAAGGCATTTTATCTTCCAGAACTAGCAATATTATGGCAGAGCCCCAAAAGGCTAAAAGAATGGGATGGGCTAGAGTATCCCCTATATTCTGTGTATTAGGTACTGCTGTACCTAGTTCCTAGAGGCATCTACACAAGGATGGTGGCGGCGAGGATGATGGTGAGGGTAATTAAGGTGATGAGGAATGAGGATGGCGATGGTCATGGTGGTGAGAATAATGATTAGATGGTGATGGTGACAACGGTGGCCATCATTCATTACTGAGCACTTATATTCTAGACAATGTTCTAAGTATTTTCCATACATAACCTCGGTTCATCATCACAACAGCTCTGTATGGCAGGTAACATTATCCTCATTTTAGAAATGAAGAAACTGGCTCAAAACCTTTTTATGTGTTAGTCCACCATGATGAGTGATTCAAGGTACTTCCCATTACTGAGGCCAGCAGGGGATCCCCAGTCACTCATCACCATACACAAACAGTCCTAAGAGCCTTCTGTGTTCACAGTTCCTAAGAGGAGGGTAGGAACCATGGTTTGTTTAACTCCTCCTGGGCACTTGTCACCGTGCTAGTTGTTTTACATGTACTGTGTACTTTCATCTTCCAACAACCAGAGCCAGGTACTATTGTTGTCTTTATTTTGCAAGTAAGGAAACTGAGTATCCATAACATTAAGAAACGTGCTCAAAGTCACACAGCTGGTACATGGTAGGGTCAGGACTCAAACTGAGGTCGTTGTGATCCTAGCACTTGTGTTTTTTCTGTGACCCCACATGCCCTCCGAAGATCCAGAGGGGCACCAGGTACATGCCCAATTCCTAGAGGACAGGTTCTGTCATTAACTTGAACAGAGACAAACCTGAGAGTGTCACTCCCTGGAGTGAAGGGCGTCTGATGCACACCGCGGGCCTTGCCCCAGCAAAGCCCCATTTGCATTATAGCGAATAATTCTGAGTTCAGGCTTTGGAGACCGGCTGCTAAGGCTTGACTCTCAAGTGTGCGCTTACTCATTGTGTGAGCAAGCGTCGACTTCTGTGTGCCTCTGTTTACTCGGTTATAAAATGGGGTTAAGATCTCACCAGGTAGTTGTGAGGATTAAACGATGTGGTACCCAAATCAGGGGGTCACACATAAACCTTAGTAAACGGTAGCTGCCATGAGCATCAGCCTTGAATACTTGTTGACTTAATGTGAACTAAATGTGGATGGCAGGCAGATGGATATGCGCACAGGCAGGGCAGCTTGATTTGCTCACGCCGAGGTGCCTTTACCTGTGACCCCTGCCGTATCTCTATTTGACAGCAAGTCAGATTTTCTTAGCCGTGAGCACTCAGTTCTCTTCCCAGGCCTTCTTCCTAGGCTCTTGACAACGGGCTGCATTTCCTAGCTGCCGAGTGGTAAAGCTGGGACTCCATCCAGGTCCCTCTGACCTCAAAGCCCCTGCTCTGAACCACCATACTACCTGCCTTTTAAAATATTGTCCTAAGGGATAAAACGCACGTAACAAGCTAGGTCTGTAAAATCCTGGAATAAATCCTTCAGGGAAATCCAGGTTGAGTAAGTATTGTTAGATCATGTCATGAGTAGCCCAGGAGATTGGGGTCACTACTAAAGATCTGATTGGTTAAGATATCACCTAACACCTGTCAGAATGGCCGTCACCAAAAAGAACACAAATAACAAGTGTTGGCGACGATATGGAGAAAAGGGAACCCTTGTGCACTGTTGGTGGGAATGTAAATTGGTGTGGCCACTATGGAAAACAGTTTGAACGTTTCTCAAAACACTAAAAATAGGACTACCATATGATCCAGCAATTCCACTCCTGTGCATTTATTCCCCCAAAATGAAAAACACTAATTCAAAAAGATACATGCACCTCAATGTTCATAGCAGCATTATTTATGATAGCCAAGATATGAAAGCAACCTAAGTGCCCATCAACAGATGAGTGGATAAAGAAGATGCAATAGGGAATTCCCTGGCGGTCCAGTGGATAGGAGTCGACGCTTTCACTGCTATGGCCCAGGTTCAGTCCCTGGTTGGGGAACAAAGATCCCACAAGCTGCATGGCGTGGCCCCCCCCAAAAAAGATAGATGTGATACAGATATATCTATGTATATCTCTATGCAGTGGAATACTACACAGCCATAAAAAAGAATGAAATTTTCAGCAACATGGATGGATTTGGAGGGTATTATGCTTAGTGAAATAAGTCAGACAGAGAAAGACAAATACTGTATGATATCACTTTTATGTGGAATCTAAAAACGAAAACTAGTGAATATAACAAAAACGAAATAGACTCACAGATATAGAGAACAAACTAGTGGTTACCAGTGGGGAGCGGGAAAGGGGGAGGGACAAGTTAGAGGCAGGGAAATAAGAGGAGCAAACTACTGTGCTTAGTTGAGCAGCACATACACTAAGATTGGAGCCGTACAGAGAGGATTAGCGTGGCCCCCGTGCAACGATGACACGGAAATTCATGAAGCGCTCCAAATTTTTGTGACCTGAACGGGAAGGAAATTCAAAAAAGAGGGGATATATGAATACATACAGCTGATTCATTTTGCTGTACAGTAGAAACTAACACAATATCGTAAAGCAACTATACTCCAATTTTAAAAAAGAGGTACAAATTACTATGTATAAAATAAATAAGCTACAGTGATATATTTTATAGCACGGGGAATATAGCCAATATTTTATAATAACTATAAATGGAATATAACCTTTAAAAATTGTGAATCACTATGTTGTACACCTGAAACATACAATACTGTACATCGACTATATCTCAATTAAAAAATAAAAAAGCTGTGACCTAAAAAAAAAAAAATCTGATTGCTGAAGGATTACTGTGTGGTCCCACTGGAAGATAGGAAACATCTAAGGAGGACCTTAAAAGTTAGCTCCCCTCTCCTCCTGCCTGGTTTCTCAGCTTCTTTTGATAAGGGAAAGAAAGGACTTTTTACATTTTTCTTTGCAAGCTCAGTTGACTGTGTCTATTTCTGCAAGACTTTGTTGCAAATAAAAGGCTTCCCTGCATACATAGAAAATCGCTCTTTCTCAGATATCCGAGATACGCAGTATTTTTATGTGAAAAAAAAAGAAAAGCAAGCTGTAATACAATATGCACAGTGTTCTCCCCCCTCCTTTTTTTTTTTTCAAATGCCAATATCTGACCACAGGAGAAATCTGGAGGAAAAGACATATAAGTGTTGAGAGTATTATCCCAGCATGATGAGACTGCGTGAGCCTTGACTTTCACTCAGTCATTCAACAACTATTTATTGCAGGCCTACTGTGTGCCGGCCACTGAGGATACAGCGGGGGGACACTTTCCACTTTATGGGTTTCTGCCCTGTTTGGATTTGTGTAACAGGCATGTGTAACTTTTGTAACCAGAACTATAATCAAGAATTGCTTCTTCTCCCAAAGAAGAAAATCCCTCTTTCCAACAGCCCGAGTCAGCATCACCCATCTCTGCCATCTCGGGGTCCTCCGAGCGCCCCTCTCCTCACGCACCCTTCACATCAGCCAGCCCAGCCCTTCACTCTCCAGCCTCTAGTCTCTCTGAAAAGAGGATGACAGACCTAGGTCTGAATTCTGATCCTACTGCTTACCAGCTCCATAGCTTAACCTTGCTGAGTGTCTGTGTCTCACCTATAAATGCAAACACATTGCCTTGCTGGGCTGTTTGTAATGATCAGAAAATATCACGTGTTAAACTCCTGGCATGGTGCCTGGCACACAGCAAGTGGTTAATACTGAATCGCTATTATTATAATATTATTCTTCTCACTCTTCCAAGCTGGAAATTCTCAGCAAGTGGCATTGTCAGAGGTCAGGGGCCCAGGCACGAGCCTGTTCAGCTCCCCTCCTGTCTCTCTCCGCACCCATCTTTTCTCCTTTCCCTCTATCTTCCCTCACTACGTTCTCTTTCCAAATGCAGCTCTTCCCTCCCTGAGTCTCCCCTTCTCTCTCCCTCCCAGACCACCCTGTGCACAAGCTCCTGAATCATGACCTCCTTCTTCAGCGTATACAGCCTCTCACTCCATCTTTCTCCTTTGTCATCAAACATGCGCTTCAAGCTGGTGCATCTTCACTGGGACCACTGCTTCTTCAGCTCCTTTTCTACTGCTCGTACTCCTGTCCATTAAGACCTTGAAGTGCGTTACACCCTGTGTGCTCACCACCAACTTCCTACTTTGCCTCTTTGGCAACTGACGTAGCCCCCCTGCACTGAAGCCCCACCTTACTCCCCCCGCCGTGTTCTCTCTGACCTACCCAGCCCTCTCGGTTTGCTTTCTTGAAACCCTCTCATCTTTGATAATTACAGCTTGGGTGGGTGATGCTCCTGGCAGCCAGTAGGCAGAGGCCAGGGATGCTGCTAAATGTCCTACAGTGCCCACGACGGGTCCCACAACGAGGACTGTCCAGCCCAACACGTCGAGAATGCTGCAGTTAAGAAATGCTGCTGGCTCCTTCGTCTCTATTACATCCCGGTTATTTTTCTGAAAAAATAACAAAACACCCTTCATTAAGCCAACTCACTGCTCCATCAGAAGCTGAAATAGCAGTGACTCAGACCCTGGAGTCACACCACTGTGAGCCCAAGCCCTGGCTCAGCCATTTGCCAGCTGTGTGGCGTCCAGCAGCCACATGTCTCAGAGCCCGACTGCCTCATGTGTAAAAGGAGGCGATGGCGGGACAATACAGCGGGGTGATGCGCTGATGGCTTGGCAGAGGGCCGGGCACACAGGTCACACTCATGACATTTCAGTGATGTTTAAATCAAGTTTATACTCTTTAGGCTACTGTTCTAGGCTGGCCACAAATTGAACTCAGCTTTCCATCCCAGCTCTTCCCTCTACTCCTCCCCTCCCCCACCATCTGCTCTACCCCAGTTAAGCTCCACCCTCTTCCAGAACATGCACTGCATTTCCCCACCTCTCATCCTGCCTCCTGCCTTCACCCCCCCCCCGTATTAGTTTCCTATGGCTGTTCTAACAAATTACCACAAACTTAGGGGCTTAACACAACTCATATTTATTCTTTTACAGTTCTGGAGGCCAAAGGTCCAAAATCAGTTTCGCTAAGGTAAAGGCAAGGGGCTGGCTCCTTCTGGAGGCTCTAGGAAAGAATCCGTTTCCTCACCTTTTCCAGTCTCTAGACTGGAAAAGGCGAGGAAATAAAACTTCCCCACTTTCCTTGGCTCATGGCAGAGGAGCATCTTCAGCTCTCTGCTTCTGTCACATCACCGGCTCTGTCTGTCTGCAGTCAGACTCCCTGTGTCTGCTTCTTGTAAGAACCCATGAGACTATATCGGGTCCACCCAGCTGATCCAGGATAAGCGCCCCCATCTCAAGATCCTTAACTTCACCACATCTGCAAAGGTCCTTCTGCCCTGTTAGGTAATGTTCATAGGCTCTAAGGATTAGGACCCAGACATCTTTGCGGGGGGAGGCATCATTCACCCAACCACATCTTCCATTCTGAAACGCCATCCCCTCCAACTCTGCATACCCACCAATGCCCACGCCCAGTGGGTCCTCAGCCAAGCAGTGATCACTCCAGGTGAATGATGGCGCCTCCTCTGGGACCCTCACACTTCTCCACTCCTTCAGCCATCATTTCCACGCCACCTGGAGTCCCTGCCTGTTTCCTCCCAGGCATGTAGACCTTGTCTCTCACACTGAATGGCTTCATATCATCCCCTGCTCAGCTCACAGTGCTGCACACGGTAGACACTTAGTCGATAGGAGCTCTGCAGATGGTTTTTATTGTCTGCCCACAAAAAGAAGCTTGGACTTGAGCCCAACCGAAGCTGATCAACAATTTAAAAAACACAAGGTGGGGCTTCCCTGGTGGCGCAGTGGTTGAGAGTCTGCCTGCCGATGCAGGGGACACGGGTTCGTGCCCCGGTCCGGGAAGATCCCACAAGCCGTGGAGCGGCTGGGCCCGTGAGCCATGGCCCCTGAGCCTGCGCATCCGGAGCCTGTGCTCCGCAACGGGAGAGGCCACAACAGTGAGAGGCCCACGTACCGCAAAAAAAAAAAAAAAAAAAAAAAAACACAAGGTGGATGGCAACTCACGTTTCCTTGATGGGAGGGCAGCGTTGCCCTCACCCACCTGTCGGCAAGCTCTGTGAAGACATTATTCAGAAAGCAAAGGAAGTGAACTGAATTGATACTTACCTTCTTGCTTCTCTCTTTAAGGATTGTCTTTGTATCTGAAATACCTTCTGGAACATTATCAAAAAATTACAAGCTGGACCCAGGAACTTCAGGTAATCTTTGAACTTCAAAAGTTCATTTCAGCTCCTCCTTAGAATTTACCTAGCCCTGAGCATTTTAACTCTGTTTCTCCTCTGTTAGGTAGTCAGCACACATCCTCCAAAAGGTGAAATGATACCTCCATTTGCACACGAAATGCTTCAGACAGGGTGGCTGAGATCTCCCAGGAGGGCAAGGAGGCTTGTTTTCCTCTGTCAAAAACCAGAAACATTTAAATGCCATCAGATCTTTACAATTGTTTATTAAATGCAGTGGAAGAAGTACAGCTAGCCACAGTATAGGCAGCAGAATTACCAAAAGTTACATAATGTCGACATTTTAGAGGCAAAATTATCCTTAGGGATTGTATCTCTCCGGTAGCTATTGCCGTATTAATACTGTATAATAAACAACCATAACACTTTTAGCAGTGTTCCACAGTTATTGTCTACTGATCACACATCTGGGGCCAGCCGCTAGGTGGGTCCACTGGTCTTAGATGGGCTTGCTCATGTGTCTGAGTGTTGGCTGGACCTTGGTCGATATAGGCTGGCCTCAGCTGGAGCAGCTGTGCTCTGTTCCACGTGTTCCACGTGTCTCTGATCCTCCAGCAAGCTGGCCTGGGCACGTTCTCATGGTGCTAGCAGAGGAAGCAGACGTCGGGAAGAGAAAGCAGGCCCAATCATGGAATGCTTTTCAATCCTCTGCTTGTGTTATGTCTGCCAACATCCCATTGGCCAGAGCAAGTCACATGACTGAGTTCAGTGTCAGGGGGCGGGATATGGGTGGGCACTGCAAGTTACAGAGCCAAAGATATGAATAGAGGAAGGGTGAAATATTGGGACCAGCGTTACGATCAACCCCAAAGACCATCTGGTCCAGGGGTCAGCAAACTTCTTCTGTAAAGGGCCAGACGGTAAATATTTTAGGCTTTGCAGGACATACAGCCTCTGCCACACTTATCTGACCAGCTGTTGTAGAGCAAAGGCAGCCATAGACATAAGTAAATGAACGGGCGTGACGGGCATGCTCTGCTCCAATAAAAATTGATTTATAAAAATGGGCAGTGGTCCATATTTGGCCTGCAGACAGTAGTTTGCCACCCCCTGATCTAGTCCATTCTCCTTATTTTACAGAGATGGACGATGGCATTCAGAGGCTAGGCGACTGTTTCAATGTCACACAGATGGTTGGTGGAAGAATCAAGACAAAAGCTCAGGCTTTCTGACCCTAGTTCACTGCTTTTTCTCTTACACTCAGCAAATAATAACAAATAAGTCTAACTACCATTTACTGAGCACCTACTATGTGCCAAACACTGTGCTAAAAGCTTTCCATCATTATCTCATTCTTACAACTCTAAGAGGCAGATACTAGTATTAACCTCGTTCTCTATACAAAGACGTGTCTAGAAAGAACTAGAGCTGAGATTCTATCTAGATCTAGAGTCTGAGCTCTTTACCACGATGCTCTACTACTTCCCTATTAGTTACTAAGCTAAGCATCATTTTTCTGTGTTTTGAAGGAAGTTTCGTGAACCTTTGTCTCGCCCCCAAAGGTAGTGGAAATGGCTCCTGCGTTAGTCCTGTCCCCCATCGGCTGCATTTCCCTTCACCTCGTTTCAGATCAAGACCAACAGTTCTCAGGAAACTCAGCAGTATTTGCTGCAAGAAAAGTTACGGCAGCACCTGGCAGAGAAGGAGAAGCTGACCGAGGAAAGGCTACAGCAAGAGGAGAAGCTGAAAGCCAGAATCAAGCGGCTAACGGAAGAGAAATCGGTAAGGTGGCCCCCGTCCTTCTCTTTACTGCTGGGAACCGATGAGATGGGCTTTCCTATGAGAAACAGAGGGCACGTACTTAGATGGAGGAATCTCAGCAACTCCTTGTTGGGAACTAAATTAATTAAAGAGGGTGAATGATGTAGGAGGAATTAACATGAAGCTTGAGTCCTAAAACTCGGAGATCAACTTGAAGAGGCAAGGTTATTGAAATGTCTAGAAACGGTACTTTGTTTATATACTGCAGCTGACTTTATTGATACAAATCCCAGTCGTTACTGCAGGTCCCGGTTTGTGTCTAAGTGTGTGCAAGACCAACCAATAGTATTTCAGTCTTCTGCTTTCTCTTCATGCATATCAGGGGAAACACACGGGGCTTCCCTGGTGGCGCAGTGGTTGAGAGTCCGCCTGCCGATGCAGGGGACACGGGTCTGTGCCCCGGTCCGGGAAGATTCCCACATGCCGCAGAGAGGCTGGGCCCGTGAGCCATGGCCGCTGAGCCTGCGCGTCCAGAGCCTGTGCTCCGCAACGGGAGAGGCCACGGCAATGAGAGGCCCACATACCGCAAAAAAAAAAAAAAAAAAAAGAAAAGAAACACATGGCCAAAACTGCTACTTACTTTTCCAGAAACCAGCCAATTAGAGGATACTTTACAGCAGCGCCTCTCAACTCAAAGGTGTCCACGGATCACATGGGGATGTTGTTAAAATGCAGATTCTGATTCAGCAGGTCTTGGGGGCGGGGGGAGCCTGGGATTCTGCATTTCTGACCAGCTCCCAGCTGGTACTGATGGCACAGCTCTGCAGACTACATTTTCAGCCACAAAGTCTTAGAAGAAGGTTTTCCCCAAGTTGGCCGATAAGAACCACCTGGACGCTGGTGAAAAATACAGCTTCTTGGGCCCCACCCCAGACCCACTGAATCAGAATGTCAGGAGAAAGCCAGGAAACTGCACATAATGGGCTGCTTCTCATCCTTGTCCCTGAGTTGGCCCTTTCTGATATTCAGGGACCCACCATGAATTTAACTACCTCGGTCACCATCATCCTAGATCAGTGGCTCATGACTTTGGCTGCACTTTGGTCACCTAAGAGATTAAAAAATACTAATGCCTTGTACCCCTCCCCCCACCCCACCCCCAGGTTCTGACCTAACTGGGGTGAGGGTGTGGCTCAGGCACTGGGATTGGTAAGCTCTCCCTGGTGGTTCCAATGTGCAGCCACGGTGGAGGGCCACAGCGTGCTGCCCCTCCTCCACCCCCCTCAAGACAGCAGCACCAGATCCGCTGGACCCCAACTCCCCCCCAGCACCTCCTTTCTTCCCCTGAGAAGGACTGGACCTGCCGTTTCCTCTGCCTTCACCGGGAGAAGCTTGGTGACTTCCTGCTTGGACCGTCCTTCTGTCACACACCCTCACTCTCCAGACCCCTCCAAGAGGCAAAGACCTCTGCCTGCTCCCTTTCATCCTCTAGTTCACGCCCCGCTACTTCTTCTCCTGTTTGCCTCTTTCTCTGCCTTTCTGCCTTTTGTGAAATAAAAGATTAAAAAGGAAGAACCACCTGACCAAAATCACCTTTGAGCCACATAAAGGTACCATTAACAACAGCCTTAAATCAAGGCAGCTCCCTCCAGAAGGACAATTAGACATAGAAAAAGCCAGTGCCATTCCACAGAGAGGGAAATAAAACCAGAAAGAACCTAGAAATCTTCAAAATCTCCACCAGGCTCTCCACCTGTTTCCTCCCTCCTCTCTGATTAACTTCTCCCTCGCCAAATGTCTTATTTTAGTTTTAACTTTGGTTTGACTTGTTCCCACTGTGGATGTGCAGTATTGCAGCCCCAGCATGTTCAACATCACCCTGGGCACCGGCCTGGGCCTCCCAGACGCCCATTTGTAACATCGATTCCAACAGATACAGGGTTTCAAGGGCTGACATCGGCCCCCCTTTAATCACAACAGAGCTCAGTGCGCACACCAGCCCATGCAGAGGGGGACGCAACGCCAGGGACCCACCGAGACAGAGCGCCACTGCTCATGTCCACTGTCGCCCCGTCGAGGGTCATCCTTCCCCAGACACGCACATTGATCAGCTCGACCCCAGGGACTCATCGGAAAGTACTGTTCCAGACTCCAGCGCCAGGTGCCCCGATTTTAAGTGAACCTCCCTCATACCACATGACACCATCATCCCCACCCTTTCTAAAGATATGCTTGTCCGAATTCATTAATTAAACTCCTCACGAGTCCTAACTTGTCTGAGGACTCTGTTTCAAGGGTAAGAAATTCTAGGTTCCCTTATGGAGCTAACATTCTTTTTTTTATTATGATCTGTTAGCAGCAGTCCTCTGATTTGTGTGTGCACACTAATGGTTTAAATCAGGGGGCAGCAAACTTTTTCCACGAAGAGCCAGATAGTATCTATTTTCAGTTTTGCGGGTCGTATGGTCTCTGTTGTGGCTTCTCAGCTCTGTTGTTGCAGTGCAGAGGCAGTTGTAGGCAACCCACGATGAGCATGGAGGGTTGCCAATAAAACTTTATTTACAAAGAAGCAGGCAGCGGGCCAGATTTGGCCCAGATGCCATAGCTTGCCAACTCCTGTCTCTAGGGTCAAAGGGACCAGGGTTCAAACTCCTGTTGACGTGATTTACTAGTAAACTGAACAGATTCCTTAATCTCTCTAAGCCTGTTTCCTCCTTTGCAAAGTTGAAATGACAGAAGAAATGATTAATCTTTACTAGTGAATAGTTATCATGTGACAAGTATTTCATGTTCATCATCTCATCTGCTCCTCACATCAACCCATTACTGTCCCCACTGTACAGATAGGGAAACTGAGGCTTCTAAAGCTTCTCACTTGCCCAAGCCTATACATCTAGGGAGGATCAACCGGAGGCTCTAATTTGGGCCTGCCGACTCCAGACCCCGTACTCTTAGCCCCTAAGTATACTGCCCACAGTTTTCTGTGGCAGTGAGAAGTGAAAGAGTTTTCTTGTTGTGAAAAGTGAAAGAGTGAATCCGTGCAGTGCCTGGCACAGAGTCCAGATCCCTACTATGGTAACCATGTCTATTAAACAACAATCATGACTTTCAGGCTTTGGAGGAAACCATTTCTCAGGAGAAAAGCAGAGCAAAGGAAGCATTAGAAGAAGAACAGAGCAAAGTCCAAGAGCTGGAGAATCGCTTAACCCGCCAGAAGGAGGTACGCAGCTCGGGGAGATAGTTGGCTCCAGCCCAAATCCGGCTTGAGGGCCAAATGGAAGAAGTTTAGAACCACAGATGTTGGGGAGAAGCGCGTGGCGGAGTTTCCTAGAGTAATTTGTCCTTGGGAGGGCTCAGCTAGTCTGAGAAGAAGCAAGGGGGACTCTAGGAGAGAACCCTAGAGCTGTAGCCTTCACAATTAGTTGGAAAAATTGCAAACAGCGTAAAATACAGCCTTAGATAGGGGACAAGTTGGGATTGGTGACATGAGCATTTTCTGCGCAGAGATTGTATCCCAAATCCCAAAAATGGAGGAATTACAGAATCGTGGGACTTCAGGGCTGCGTGTATCCTCCAACAACATCCTAAAATCATCCAGCCTTCAGCTCCACCACCAAGGAATTTTCTGCAGCCCAGGGCAGTCCATCCCAGCATTGATGCCTTGGGCAGGCAGAACATTCTTCCTTTAGGTTGAATTGACTCAGACTTTCTCCCAGAAGGGTTTCAATCCTCCACCCGCCCCCCGGGCTCCTGCAAGACCCGTCTATTGAATACTTTCTCTTCCACAGAATAACCTTTTATAGATGCTTGAAAATAGAGGCACCCGCTCCTCTCCAGAACCAAATGCCATTCACAGTCCTGGAGCATGGCCTTGTTCCGCTCCTCTGAGCTGCTCTGTGCTCCAGAAGCCACAGATGAGCAGCTCACTGGCTGAAAAGGGCCTGCAGACATGTTACGTTTGGTCCTAGAGTGTTTTTTCTTGAATTCATAAACTATACTGAAAAATCCAGATTTCCACCCTCTCTTGAAAAGTTCAGAAATCTGGCCCTCCTTTCCACTTGGCAAAAACGGGCCGGAGTGGAACCAAGTAGAAGAAGTTCGCCACAGTCCTCGCCATTCCCTATTGCATCACACACAACCCACTTCACTTTGGGTAACTGTCGAGCCCCTGTAGGCATCTGAGTTTGCAACCCATCATCTGTTTTCTTCCTAAAGTTTTTGTAGGCAAAACTGGACACAGTTCTCCAACATTTAGTGGCCTAGAGCAGGACTCTTCTCTCCCTCGTTGAAGATGTTGTACTTCTATTGATGTGTCCAAAATGGCTTTTGCAAAAGCCCTATTACAGTGTTCACTCATACTTACCTCGTGGTCACCCTCAGATCCCTGAGTCTTTTTTACAAAATGTTTTCATTAGCGCTTCGGTCCTGGGGCAGCGCAGAGGAGTGAGGAGTGCAGGCTTTGCAGCCTGGCTGGGCTACTCACTGGCTCAATACCTACCTTCTTTAAAGGATGGCTGTGAAGATTGGAGATAATGTACACTAAAGTGTTTGACCCAGAATCATCTCTCAAAGAATGGTAGCTATTAATACTATCAATCACTGTACTTCCACTTCTGTTTAGGTACTTGCCTCCTACCAATCCCCCACTGCATCCCTACTCCTCAGAGGGAAACCCTGGCCCACCCACCAGTGAGGGAGAAATAATGAGCCTGGTGGGCAGAGCCCATGCCATTTGATCCGATCCAGAGAGGGAAAGTGTTTATGTGTTGGGTCTCACTCAGGTCTCCGGCGCAGCTGTGCTCTGCAGGCCTGTGTAAACAGTGTCAGTACCTGGTCCTGAGTTATTTCTCCAGGGGTGGCAAGGAGGAGGAGGGTGTCACAAGGGTTCCTGGCGGCCAAATGCCACTGAGAGGTCATCAGCACAAAGATGGAGAAGCCCCTTGATTTTAGAGATCTCGAGGTCACGGGGCACTTCAGGAGGGAGATTTAAGGAAAGCCTGGTGGTGGACAGCCCCATGGCAGGGAGGAGCTGTGGCCGGGTGACCCAGGCCTAGGACAGCGTCAGCCCACTTCTCCCGGCAGGACCTCTCCGTGGCTTCTTGTCAGGGGAACCTGAGATTAAAATCCCAGACACAGACTTAGATCAACCTCAAACAGTGCTTTGATTTTTCTTTCTATTAGACCTTCCTCCACACTGTCAGATGCATCTTTAAGGACGACAGAATCACTAGGTCATAATGCGGGTTTGGAGGTAACGTTAAAGATTAATTCCCGTGACCTGCCCAGGAGCATGGGAGCAAAGTGGCCCGGGGGAACGGGACCTGGGCGTGAGTCGCACGAGGACAGGCTTCCCTGTAGTGCGTAGCGCCCGTCTCGGCTGCAGAGGAGCTGCCAAGAGCAAAGTCCCGCGTGTAGACGTGAGATCAGGCGCAGTGGGGCAGGAAAATGCCTTAACCCGAAACCCTCCTCAGACGTTCGGCTCCCTCACGTCTCATGGGAGACGCCAGGCTCCCGCGATGTTACTGCGCTTCTGCTTCGTTGGGGGCTGGTATTGGAACAGATGAGTGTTGGCGTTTTTTAAACTGCTTTTCACTGCAAAATATATAAAAATGTGTAGTATTTCCTCCATATTATGGATTAGATATTTTTGCAGACTAATCTCGGACCCTAACCACCAGCTATAATGGAAACCGTGTTCCAAATTCCAGACCTCTGCCAAGCTGGTGTTTAAAACACAACCCTTTTGAGAGTTGAGGTGCCCTTTCTTTTTGTTTTTTTTTTTTAACATAATGATGATGAATCTGAGGTGCCCTTTCTTGCAGTGACTAGAAACAGGGGCCTTACCGGCAACTTCTAGCCTTCTGCAATTTGCATAAACCATTTAACTGGACGGCTTATCGGCAAGCTGCTTCCTAGATGAAATTCCCTGACTGCGGGCACTAAATACCAATCACAGCCCTCGCATCCTCTCAGAGCTTCCCTTGTGAGCTTTGCCCCCGCCCCTCCTAGAGATTGTTATGTGTGGCTCATTAATTCAATACACTGCCCTCCTCTAGAAACCTGATTGTCTTTCAGAGATTTACTTCAACAATGGGAAATTCCATTATTAATGAGATTTTTCTTCTTCTTATCACAGAGGCTGCCTGGCACAATGATAAGAGCTCAGACTCTGAAATAAGACAGGCTTGGTCGCCTCTGCTGGCTTGCTCCCTGCCAGGGCCTCCACCCACAGGCAACGTGAGGGGTTCAATCCCGGCCTCACCACTAACAAACTTCATGGTCCCCGCGCCCTCACCAACTTTCCATTCTTTAGTTTCCTCATCTGTTAAATGGTGACGCCAACTTCTCTGATGAGGTTGCCGTGAGAGTGACGTGACGTGAGTGAGAAGCGCTGGCCTTGGGCCCTGGCACGGAAGACCAACCCTCAACGTTTGAGCTACTGTCATTATAATTAGTATCATCGTTATTAGCAATTTTCCCCCTAAATGTGCAGGCAACCAAAAAGACTGGTCATTGATTTTCAGATTTTGGAGAGCAGCATTGCCCATGAGAAAAGCAGAGCAAAGGAAGCCTTAGAGACAGAAAAGAGAAAAGTGCGAGATCTGGAGAACCACTTAACCCAGCAGAAGGAGGTCTGAAGAGCAGAGAGAGAGAAGTTGGGCGGTGGCAGCCAAAAGCCCTTTGGAAGGAGCTCCAGAACCAGATGTGAGGCTGTGTTTCGGTGCCCTGATGTAGAGCAGGTGGTAAAGCGGCCAGGTGGGGAGCGGTGCCTCCGTTCAGAGTGGCCGATATCACAATATAGGACTCACCAGCTGTATGACCCTAGGGCAGATCACCTAACCTCCTGTGCGTCAGTTTCCTCATCTGTAACATGGGGAGGGATACAGTCCCTGCCTCGCGGGATTAAATGAGTTAGTGTATATTAAGTACTTAGAACTGCACTCGCACACAGAGGGCCGTCTTCAAAAGCACTGCTGGCCAACTACCTAGGGAAGGGAGTTGCACTCCAGGGGAGACCCGCTGGGTTGGCGTCTGGGTCAGTCCCTCAGCCAGCATCCTCCTTGTCGTCGAAAGGTATTTATGATGCACCCAGCGTGGGCACAGTAGGAAAACGCCCTCTTGGCGCCAGCCTCCTAGTTTCATAGACTCCAAAGTAGACCCTCCCTGGGCCGATGGACAGATAGAGACACAAACATTGCAGAGTAAGATGGAGTAGACGGTAACACAACCAGCTCACACGGTGGTCACATCAAATAAGCACCAGGGGTCAGTGTCTTCTGGAAGAGATGAGAAGTACACCCTCAAGGACAGGGTGATGTGGGAGGGGGAAGGGGTGTCCAAGTGCCAGGCCCAGGCCGAGCCAGTGACATTCACTGCCACCAGCCTAGGGACTGGGCTTACCAGCCGGAGCCGCCATGAAAGGCAGGCCCCAAGGCTTAGAGGAGGGATGAACGCCCGAGTCATGCCCTGAAAGTCAAAGAAGGGCTCTCGGAGCCAGGGGGCCAGGTGGCCGTGCCCTCAGTGACCTGTGATGGCATCTCCAGGAGCCGGACTGTAGGGACAGAGGGGGCACACACAGACATGTGCCGGCTCTCGTGGAACTTCCAGAAACAAAGCTGGTGACTCAATGAATTATTTAATTCAGTTTTATTCATCCATCTGCAAATATTTACTGAGTACCTACCACGTGCCAGACCTTATTGGGTGTCAGGGATACTGCAGAGCACTAGACGGACCACAGTCATGCCCCCCACTCTAGGGCGGAGGACAGACAACCATGTAAACAAACACAGGTGACTCCAGAGCCACAGGCTGTGGGGTAGACAAAACCAGGGTGGGTTAGAGAGTGGCCCGTCAGCGGGGAGGGCGTCTCCAAGGAGGTGACCTTGCATAAGAACTGGAGGGCAGAGGGAACACCACGGGAACATCTGCGGGAAGAGAATGCCACTAGGTCAGGGGTCCCAAGTGCAAAGGAGAGGGACTGGAGTTTGCCAGAGGGACAGGGGCAGGACGGGAAGAATGAAATCAAGCTGGAACAAGACGGAAGCCAAATGGGTCAGAGGAAGAAAGCCGGAGGGAGACACAGAGTAGGCGAAGCGAGGCATGGCAGCAGAGCTGGGTGGGCTAAAAGTGTCGATTCTGGTCCCAATTCCAGCTCTGCCCCAACATGCTGTGTGACTCTGGGCAAGCCCCTTGCCCTCTCTGTGCCCCCATCTCTAATGCGGGTGCAGTGACAGAGGTTTGTTTCGAGGAGTCCGTGCATGCATTGTGACCACCTCCGCAGGTGAGGTCAGAGTCCCGGTCGGGTGGGGAGGATGGAGTGCATGGCGGGATATGGGGGCTGGACAGGCAAGCAAAGACCTTGGGAGTGAGACTGTGCCAGCCCCTGCAGGGAAGTGAGGTCAGAGTCCACACAGGGCAAGGGAGCTCCGACACAGAGCGAGCCTTGTTAAGGGGTAGAACGCAAACTGTGGTCACAGCTGCCCCCAGATCAGCCCTTATACAGATGGGCCAGGGGTGGGGCTTTAGAGTGTGGGCTTCTGCTGAGCAGGGTGGCAGACTCTGTGCCAGTCTACGTTTGAATACACAAGCATGTCTCCTGCCTCCAGGTAGGGTGGGGCTGGAATCAGGAAGACAGCTCAGGCCAGGTCCAGAAGCCAGGTGGCAGGGTGGCTAGGGCAGGGCACTGGCATCTGAACTGGCACCACCACTTCCTGATGGTGTGACCTTGATGCATTACTCATCCTCTCACTGCCTCACTTACAGCCTCTGTGTCCTCACCTGCAAAATGGGGGGCAGACGCCGCCTGGGGGCTCGCATTCAGTGCACGGTGCAGGCGCTCATGTTGCAGAATTTAGAGCGTGGGCAGTATCATCCTTTTCATTTGTAATCTGCCAAGCGGCGCAGAATAAGAGAAGGGAGGGTGCCCTCCCGTGGAGCATGTGGCCTCTTACATCAGGCAGGACACAGACTCGCAGGGTGGGGTCTGGACAGTCTTAGGCAGACTTGGCAGTGGGAAAATGCCAAGCCCATGCAGGGAGGAGAGTCAGAGCCCAGGTGGGGCGGGGAGGCCCGTGTGCAGAGCAGGGCAGGGGAGATGGAGGCCCAGGACGTAATGCTAGAACAACAAGGCTGTCGGGAAGATCCTCTTTTCTCCAGGGCCACCCACCCCCAAAGTATAACAATGTCAGTAGATTTTCTTTTTACCCAATAATGCATGTTCACTAAAGAAAATTTAGAAGATACAGACCAGTGAAAAGAAGAAAATATAAATTACCATAATCTCAATTCACCCCAAATAGCCATTATTTATATTTTGGTACATAGCTTTCCAGTCTTTTGTTTATGCATATATAAATTACTTATTTCATTAAAATGTTATTCTTGCGAACTCTTATATTTGTACGGGAGGCATAACTACAAGAGTTTCAACAACTGCAAACAGAGTTTCTCGACCCTACTCTGGCTGTTTCCCTCCTGGGGCTTGTGTAGTTGAAGCTGGGCTCCAATCCCCTCTCCATCACCGTATCTGTGGGGTATATGTTCTCAGTCCCAAACTGTCCTGGGCTTCAATTTCTGGACCCAAGCCTTTGTAGGCTGGAGAGAGACCACCAGTGTCCTTTGAAGCCACAGGCGTCAGGCCTGCTGGCACAGGAGGTGTATCCCCCCACCCCCTCCCGCCCCCCATCCCTGCCCTTTGCCTCTCCTGCCCCACCTCCCAAGAAGCCAGGTACTTGCCAACAAGGGACCACACTGGTGCCATCACCTGTCCGTTCAGTAGTTTAGTTCGTGGCTCAGCGCCAAATGCCTTGACCTGAACACTCACCAGCCTGTCACTTCCTGAACACCAGCCCAGAAATCCTGAAAGACGAATAACTCTCTCTTTTAAGGACACAACTAACCAAGACGTGACTTGCGGGTTCTCACCGTGCTGGGCACGCCACCCTTCTCACCTCTCTCTCCAGCAAGCATCCAGTCCCTTGAGCTCTCACTCCCAAACCCTGACTCACTGGTGTCAACGATTACTAATCCTGGCTTCCCCTTGCCGTTGTCACTTCCCTTCCTTTCTCGTGCACACACCCTCAAACCGCTTGTTGTTGACTTCCAGATTTCAGAGAGCAGCATCGCCTACGAGAAACACAAAGCGAAGGAGGCCATAGAGAAGGAAAAGAAAAAGGTGCAAGATCTGGAGAACCGCATAACCAAGCAGAAGGAGGTATGAGTCTCAAAGAGGAAAAGGCATGGAGGAGCCAGCATGGCTGAGCACCAGGCTCTGGGGGCAGGCGGTCTGGGTTCAAATCCTACCTCTGCCACCCCCTGGCTGTGGGACACTAGGCAGGAGTTGCCACCTCTGTGCCTTGGTTTCCCCACTTATGAAATACAGATGATCCGATAGATCAACCTCATGGAGTTGTGAGGCTTGATTGCTAACATACACAGAGACAAGCACCTGGCACTCAGTGAATGCTGCACGTTTTATTATTGTTGTTGTTATTATTATTATCTCACAGCCAGGAAGTGGAGGGGCAGAATCTGAACCCAGGACTACCTGACTCTAGGACTTCTCATAATCACCCCTCCTCTCCCTATCCTTGACCTTGGTGTAGGCTCAGCTGCCCGGGGTCACAGAGGGGGCGGCAGGATATAGATGCCTGAATGTCTGATCGCCTTGGTGCTATTTCTCCACCAGAATCTGTCATCATCGCTATCATCACCTTCATAATCAAGCCACGTTTACGATGATTCCTGAGAGTAGGAGATGCAGGAGAAGCAGAAGTTGTTGCACAGGACCCTGTCTTAGGCACCTCCAAGCTGGAGGACTGATTCACCCCTCCTGGGTCCCAACAGTACAAGACACACATACACACACACACACACACACACACACACATGCAAGCCTATATCTCAAAAGTCAAGGCACGTGATAAACACACAACCTGACAATAGTGGGTTAAATTTAAATACAGGTAAATACAATTTCAAAGGATTTTCAAGACCAGATGGGGCTGGGACTTCCACGGTGGTCCAATGGTTAAGAATCTGCCTTCCAATGCAGGGAACGCGGGTTCGATCCCTGGTCGGGGAACTAAGAGCCCACATGCCGCAGGGCAACTAGGCCTGCACGCGCTACAGCCCACGCGCCACAACTAGAGACGAGCTCGCACGCTGTCGCGAAGAGCCCTCTCACTGCAACGAAAGATCCCGCATGCCGCAACAAGGATCCGATGCAGCCAAATACATAAATAAATAGACCAGATGGGACTAAACAGATCTTCAAGTCTATTCACATCGATCTTAGATCGTTTTCTTCAAAGAAAGGTTCCCAAATATTACCATACATAGAATCACTGGGGGGTTATTGTTTTCTTCTTCTTCTTTTTCTTTCTTTTTTCTTTTTCTTTATTTGGCTGCGCCGCACAGCACGCGGGATCTTAGTTCCCCAACCAGGGATCAAACCCATGCTCCTTGCAGTGGAAGCATGGAGTCTTAACCACCAGACCGCCAGAGAAGTCCCCTGGGGGGGTTGTTTTGGATTAAATAATGTTCATGAAAAGGCTACATGCAGTATGATTCCGACTATATGACGTTCTGGAAAAGGCAAAACTATGGCGACAGTTAAAAGATCAGGGATTAAAAAAAAAAAAAAAAAGATCAAGGACTGGTTAGGGGAGTGGTGGTGAACAGACGGAATACGTAGGGTTTTTAGGGCAGTAAAACTATTCTGTGTGATACTATAATGGTAGACACATGTCATTGTACATTTGTCCAAACCCACAGAATGTGCAACACCAAGAGTGAACCCTAACGTAAACTATGGACTTTGGGTGATAATGATGTGTGGAGGCAGGTTCATCAGTGTAAGAAATGTACCAGTCCGGTGGGGATGTTGACAGTGGAGGAGTCTGTGCATGTGATGGGGGCAGGAGTTCATGGAAACTCTGTACTTTCTGCTCAGTTTTACTGTGAACCTAAAACTGCTCTAAAGAATGAAGTCAAATAAATAAATAAAGTGCGTCCAGCCCCAGCACAGTGCCTGTCACGAAGCCCACATTCCACAGTGCTGGAGAATGGACCCAAGGAGGAGAGTAGAATTTCGACAAAGATCAGAAGAATGGGTCCCGGGAGGAGGGAGAAGGTGTTGAGGACATGGCGACCAGAGTCCAATCTTGCCGGGGCCCCACGGGACGAGGGGAGGTCACCCCAGGGCCGAAGCCACAGAGGAAGATGGAGGAGTGTCCTGGAGGCAGGTCCTGTGACGAAGGGGTGAAGGAACTTGGCACATTTATCCTGGAAAATAGATTTAGGGAGAGACATGACAGCCCTCCTCAAATATTTAAAGGGCTGTCTCATAAAAGAGAAATAAAACTTGTTCGATGAGCTCCAGGTGACAGAACTGAGCTCAGAGACCAGAAATCTCAAGTAGACAGATCTCAGCTGCATATAAAAAAAGAGTTCTGTAATCATTGGAACCTTCCAGAGAAAACATGGACTTTGGACTTTAAAAGGATCAACAGAACAATACCAGAACAGAGGTCACCTCCTCTCTGAAAACAGGGGAGGGAGAAGCTAGGGTGGATATTTATACCTGAATTTCTGTTAATTTGATGTTTGCTGTTTGTCTAGGAAATAGATTTAAAAATGCAAAAAGAAGACATTTTAAATGATAAATTAAATGATGCATTGGCCATGGTAGAAAAGACTCAGAAAACAAAGACGGCTGAAAGTCTAAAAGCAGAGAGCCTCACCATGAAATTAAGTGAAACATTAGCTGAACTGGAAACTGCTAAGGCGAAAATGGTAAGTCAGTGCCTTCTGGGGATGGGAGAATTTTCCCTTCAATGCGCGATCACGATGCCATGAGGATGCGTGGTTTAGACCAGGGGTTCTCAGCCTCTACACTGTTGATGTTCTGGGTGGGGTAACTCTTTCTCATGTCCTGTGCATTATAGGATGTGTAGCAGCATCCCTGGTCTGTACCCACGAGATGCCAGTGGCACCCTTCCCCCAGTTGTGACAACCAAAAATGTCTTCCAACTTTGCCAAATGTCTCTGGCAGGGTAAAATCACCCTCTGCTGAGAAGCATTAGTTTAGTATAAAAAGTAAACAGAAGCTATGATGACACCCTCTGTCCAGGGTCTTCTAAGATGTTGTAATTCAGGGTCTTCACAGGATCAGGCTGAAGCACTGAGCAGCCCCAGAATTTAGGGATCAGTGACTATTCCTCAGACGTTAAGATAATGTTTTCCAATTTCATCTCAGCATTCAAGGCCCTCCACCATCAGGGCTCAATATTGCACCCACCTGCCCTTCATACATTGAACAGACAGGTCTGTAGACAAGGAGTCGATGAGGATTGACCTGGCAGAAGTGCACAGAGTGAACCTGAGTGGGACCGGACTTGGAGACACCGGCTCAGGGTGTGGCACGTTGTTGCTGCAGTCCTGAGTCATAGGACCTGGACACTCGGGGCAGCAGAGCAGGGGAAGGAAGGAGTCGCTCTGGAGAGAGTGAGCAGAAAAATGGCAAGACTCGACAACTGATTGACAGGACAGGAGCACTGAGAAGAGGGAGGAACCAAAGGAGGCGGGCGAGCTTGGAGCCAGGGCACCGGGCGGGCTGATGGCACACGGTGGAGATGCAGGGAAGATGGGGGTCGGGGTTTGTGTGTGTGGGGGGGGGGGGGGGCTCTTGTGGGAGAGGGGCTGTCTTCTGGAGAAGGTGAAGAATTCAGACTGAGACGAGGGTGGGGTACCAAGTTCAAAAGTTGCCCAAACTTTTGGCAGGGCAAAAAAATAGATTTGGGGCAGGAAGCAAGACATGGGAACAAAATTTGGAAGACAGCCTTGGAGGAGTGATTGTTGAGAGAGCAGGCACGTGTGAGCATCTCAGGCAGAGAATTTACGCATCTGGAGAAGATCAGAGGCTCAACGTGTTAAGGGAATCAGGAGGAGGAGGATGACGTCATCCAGATAGCAGGAGAATGATGTCATCCCGAGAGGGGAGGAAGGTGGGGGGCGGTCAAGGGAAAAGTTCTGACTCACCATCAGGGGACCACTGATCATTTTTGGGTTTTTTTGTTTGTTTGTTTTTGCGGTACGCGGGTCTGTCACTGTTGTGGCCTCTCCCGTTGCGGAGCACAGGCTCCGGACGCACAGGCTCAGCGGCCATGGCTCACGGGCCCAGCCGCTCCATGGCATGTGGGATCTTCATAGACCGGGGCACGAACCCGTGTCCCCTGCATTGGCAGGCGGACTCTCAACCACTGCGCCACTGGGGAAGCCCCATTTTTGTCTTTAAGAACTACAAATTCATTCACTTTTCTCTTATAAAATTGTTCACTCATTAATTCAACCCACACTTACTGAGCATCTGGGTCTAGATGCTATGGCAGGGATCTAGACACTGATGCTGTGGGCATATTGGTAAATAAGAAAGGGTAAGTTTCTGCTCTCATGGAGCTTACATTCCAGTGGGAGCAAGAAATAAAGACATGAGATCATTCAGATGGTGATAAGTGCCTCAGGGGAAATAAAACAGGGTCATGTCTCCTTCAGATAGGCAGTCAGGGAGGGCCTCTCTGAGGAGGTGACATTGGAGCTGAGGCCTGTCACATGAGGCGTCAGCCATGCGAGGAGCTGGGGGAAGATTGTACCGTGCAGAGGGAACAGCACATGCAAAGGTCCTGGGGCGGGGCGGAGCTTGGTGCTGGTGGGTGCAGGGGGCCCATGTTGATATTGCTGTTATCGTCCTCTTATCCAGCTCCCAAGATCATGTTAACCACGTCTGTTTTCCCAGATCATGATGGAGGAGCGGATGCAGCTGCAACAGCTCACAGTAAGGGCCCTCCAAGAAGAACAGGAATCTCAGAAGCACGGATTTGAAAAACAGATCATGGAATACAAGGACCAAATCAAACAGCACACCCAGACGATTGTGAGTCTTGAAGAAAGACTCCAGAAAGTGACCGAACACCGTAAAAAAATAGGAGAGATTGCAACGTTGAAGGACAATGACCGAGGTTGGTCCAGAGAGACGCCGAGGAAATCTTAGTGTTCAGGGCAGGTTCTGATGACCCTGTGGGTCCCCCTAGGCTGATGCAGAAGAAAAGTCTGCGCCTCATTTAAAAGCTCCTCTATTGTCTGGAGGCCTTTTCTTCTTGTTACACAGCAAGGTTAGGCGCCCTCAAGGCCCAGGTTCAACAGAAGTAACAGCAATGAGCAGGGACAGCCTTTGTGCCGAGCCGGTCGGCCAGCGAGGGGCACAGGCTGCCGGGGCTGTTAGGGGTGTCAGAGCAGCACAACGGGAATCATCTTTTCCGTGTGGAAACATCCCGTGCAGGGGCCTTTCAAAGGCATCTCTCTGCCATCAGCAATTTGCAACTTTGTCTAATGCACTTTTATAACCAGCTGGGGTTTATCCCTTTAAAAAAAAAAAAAAAAAAAAAAAGAGGCTGAAGAAAGAACTCAAGAGTTGTGAGCACTTATTCGCCCTGAATGACCAAGGTGATGCGTAAAACTAAAGACAGTGAGCTCTTGGAAAAGAGTTCTGGAAGTAGAGGCCTCGGGCCAGGGTTTCTCATCCTTGGCACTAGTATTGCCATTTGGGCTGGAGGGCTCTTGGTTGGGGGCCGTCCTGTGCACTTAGGGTGCTGAGCAGCCTCCCCGGCCTCTGCCCACCGGATGCCAGTAGCTCCCACCCCCACCCCAGTGCGACAACCAAAAATGTCTCCAGACGTGGCCAAACGTCCCCTTCAGGGTAAACTCCCCACTGGTTGAGAACCGTGGTCCTAGTCTAAGCCACTTGACAAGCTGTCAGGGCTCACCTCATGGATTCATTCACTCAGCATGCATAACTGATCATCTATTATGTCCCAAGTTCATTCTAGGCACTGGGGGTTCAGCAATGGACAGGCCAGGCAGCTAGCCAAATCACTGCCCTGACAGGGGACCCAGGATGGACAGGGCACCACGGCACGGGCACGGGGCGGGACTCAGTCTCCCAGCCCAAGTCCAGGTCGGAGGGAGGATGCTTCAGCTGGGACCCGAGAGCGACTACATCTTTGTCGCCCCACTCTTAGATCCATGCCTGCCATCAAGCAGATGCTCCCTACGCATCTGTCGAACGAATAAATGAGTGGGTGAACTGAGGGTGAGGGTGGAAACTGGAAGGCGTGGGCTGAGGAGTAATTGGGAGGTGAGGACAGGACGAGACTCTTGTCTGAGCGGAGAGCAGGAAATAGGGCAGGACGTGCGACCCAGGAGTTAAGGCTCCGCCCCTCCTGCGCCCATCTCCTCGTCTGTCAGTGGAGTCAGTGATCCCTGCCTTAGAGAGTAGCTGGGAAGATTTCACGAGCTCATACGTGGTGCGGCGGGAGGCGGCAGCCTGTGACACGGAACACACGTTGGTTCCCATTAGGTGGAGAGGGCTGGGGGCATAGGGAAGCTTTGTAAGTTGAGAAAGCCATAGGTGTGTTGATAAGCAAAGGGGAAGGAAGACATCCGTTGTGTAAGGACTGTGGTGACGCTGGCCTGTCCCTCTGATTCAGCCCAGGAGGGGGGAACACAGCAAGACACTGCGGCAGCACCTCCGGTGGAGAGCTCCGCCAAAGACGCAGTGTGTGTTCAGCACCTGACGTGAGTACCCGACCGGGCCCCTGCTTCTGGCCACGTCGTCAGAGTCTGCAACAAGGAGTTGAGTCTGGGCTATTCTTGCTGCTATCTGAGATTTTCGATCCCTTTAGTTTCTCGATCATGTTCAAATTCCAACTCAACACTCTCCAGGTGTGTGGCCCCGGGCAGGTCACGTCACCTCCTGTGCCTCGGCTTCCCTGCTGGTGAGATGAGGTACATGAATGCCAGCTAATGCTATGATTGGCTCCTTTTTCCAAGTACCTGCTCGAGGCAAGCGCATTCCTGGGTATTATAAGCGGGTTTCAAACACCACTTGGTTGAGTGGGTCCTGCAGATGGTTAAAAGTTAAGAGGTTGGACTAAACGACCTTGAAGCTCCCTCCCAACCCAAAAGTCCATACCTGGAGCCACAAAGAGCTGACAGTTTCCAGAGAAACAAAATCCATGAATGGGAAAGATCCTGAAAGCCACTGACAAGCAGTGTACAAACAGTAGGCAGGAATGTGATGCAGAGAAAGGATTCAGAAAGTTTCTCGAAAAAGACAAGCCACCAGCCTGAGCCCTGCGCCACATACCAGTTACCAAAGTCTAATGTCCCAGGGGTTTTACCTCAAGAGGGCAAAGATACTCAGATACTCAGCCTCCATGTTCTGAAAAGTTCCTAACTGACTCCTCCTGGTAGAAAGAGCTCTCTCTAAAGACAGCAGTAGCCACGACCTGGAGAAGAATCAGCATCACGTTACTCTTCTCTGGTCCACTTCCTTAGCTGTGGACACCCTTGAGGCAGAGTTTCATCCTCAAGTTGGAAGAGTTATAGCCAAGGAGTAGAGAGAGAGACAGATAGACAGACACGCACACACAGCACGCGTCTCTCAGGGCTGGGGTGTCTCACCCTTGCTCATAACCCCCCTCAAGGCACCTCTCCCGCTGTCACGCTGGGCCCCTTCCCACGGAACACTGCTTCCCTGTCAGCCACCCTGATCGTCATGGTGCCAAAGACGTCCTGCCCTCTGGGGCATGGGGCCAAAGAGCTGCCCTCATCCCACCCTCCCTGTGTCCCCCTTGATTTTCTGGGCCCCTTCCCACGGAACACTGCTTCCCTGTCAGCCACCCTGATCGTCATGGTGCCAAAGACGTCCTGCCCTCTGGGGCATGGGGCCAAAGAGCTGCCCTCATCCCACCCTCCCTGTGTCCCCCTTGATTTTCTGGGCCCCAGGGCCCACACTTCTGCAAAGGGTCCCATGAGCACCACTCACTCACGTGGCACCACGTCTCTCCATCAGGAATTAAAAGAAGCTGGTGAGAGAACAGAAGCCATACCGTCCTCTTCTCTCTCCTCTTCCTCGTCCTCAAAGAATCCCTGAACCCACAAAAAAATAGTCTTCCTTCCTCTTGGCACCAAAGATCAAAAGCCCACAAGAGCATTGGTTCACGCTGACAGACGCTTGAGCAGCAAGAGGTTTCAACTTCACACTAGTTGTATCTCAACCTCAGAGCGAACCCGGCCGGGATCCTTTGTTCTGTCTCCACGTATTTCTTTGTAATGAAGGTGGATCAAAATGGATTTTTGTTTTGAGAATTTTTAAAGAGTGTGCTTATCGCCCTTGCTAGGACAGGCATCCCATGGACCATCATTGATTGGGGATCACTTTGCCTTTGTACTTGGCCCCTTCCAGGCACTCAAGACACCAGGGAGATTGAGTTGAACTGACTTGGTCTGTTTCTGTGAATTTCAGAGAGGACTTATTGACTGCTCAGAAGGAAATCCTGTCTCAGCAGGAGATCATCACGGGGTTAAGGAAGAACCTCACTGAAGCCCATAGCCAAATGTCAGATTTGAGAGGTGTGTACAGTTGCCCACGTCCCTTGATTTCCTGACCCACTTCAAGACAGGAAAGAAACGTGTCTGAAGGGTTGGAAAGCTGGGCATTCAAACTCCCACTCAACCTGACTTCCTGGGCCGTCACAGTACTTTTAGCTCAGGGTCAGCAAGAGCTGTATCCTGGGTATTGAACTGATTCCTTTTGACATGGGGCTACAGGGAACATTCTCAGATGGCTCTGGACCTCTGTGTGGAAACGCAACTTTCTTTTTCGGAGAGAATCTCCGATGACCACAGAGGATTTGTCTCTGGGGGCAAAGGCTTGGGGGTCAACCGTGGGCGCCCCGGGCAGGCCAGCCGGCACAAGTCCTAGCACCCAACAGCTTAGGGAACTCAAGTAAGGTGTCTCCCGGGCCTCTCCTTCCTCTAATGCAAAAACATCTGCAGCACGTCTGCCTCCCGGGGCTGATTTGGACATCAGAGGCCACTAGAATAGGGGCGAAACAGCTGCGAGGTCTGCTCTCTTCTGGACGGACACAAGTCTGACTGAATATTCCTACTTGACCCTTCTTCTCCCCAGACTTTTATTTTTGCCTCTCTTCTTCTTGCTTCTTAGAGCTGTCTTCTTTTCCCATCCCTAGCTTCCATCCAGCCAAAGGGCAGGAGTCGGGGGGTGTAACTAGGTTTGGGGAGGTGGAGGGAGGGTGAGGAGCACTCCTCTCGTCCCCATCTCAAATCCGTGCACCCCAGACCTTCAGTGGTGTTTGCTCCTGTGTCTGGACCAGCTGATGCCCCCAAGGCTTTTATGGCAGGATTTCTCAAAGAGTGATTTTTCCATACCAAGTTATGAGAACACGTGGGAGAGAGGCTACAGTGTCCAGTTCTAGAATGGGGAGGCGCTGGACCCGGTTCTGGATCTGCTGTTTATTAGTTGAGCGACTTTAGGCAAGTCCCCTGACCTCTGTGAACCTCAGTTCCTGCACCTGTGACATGGGGGTGTTACTAGGAACTGCCTTGTAGTGTTGCTTTGAAGACTCAAGGCAGTGGTGGTGTCTTTTTTCTGGCCCTGCGACATGTGGGATCTTAGTTCCCCGACCAGGGATCAGACCCTCGCCCTCTGCGCTGGAAGCGCAGAGTCTTAACGGCTGGACCGCCAGGGAAATCCCAGTGTAGGTGTCTTACTTTGGGTTTTCCCACAAGAAGACCCCCAAGACCAGAATTCCACTGCAGGTGGTTTATTTGAGAGATGATCCCAGGGAAGACAGCAGTGGAAGTGAAGTAAGACAGGAGGGGGAAGAAAGCAGATAACGGCTGTGCTGGTCGGTCAGTGGGCACAGTGGGGGACCGAGGTTACTACTGCAGTGTGGTCGCAGGGGTGCCACCTGGGGGGGGAGGGAGCTGGGCTGTGTACCCCAGCCTGTCTCCACCGGTCCGTGGTTGGAGGCTGTTGCCTCTGGCAGGCTTATGAGCAGAGCAGTCTCCAGAGGCCTCAGAACGCCGTAGGAAACATGCAGAGCAGGCAGCCGAAGGTGCCCTAGAATATGCCACAGGCTCAGAGGTCCTGACAGCTGGGGCCGGGCAGGCGCCTCGCGGGCTGCCTCATGGCGCCAGCACTCACTGAAAGGTAATGCCGTTTTGCTGTTTTGGGGGGGAAGACGCACGCAGACCTCCTGGCCGTTACTGAAGCCCCCAGAGCATCCCTGGAGGGTGGACCGCCTCATGGCTCTTAGAGGCCTGGCAGAGCTGCTGTGGCGCTCACAGAGACCTGGGGCGGGAGACCCCTAACCAGCTTCCACATCACTCCCAGGGGAGCTTAACGAGAAGCAGAAGATGGAGCTGGAGCGGAATGTGGCGCTGGTCCAGCAACAAAGCAGCGAGCTGAGTGTGCTCAAGGAAAAGATGGCACAGGTGAGCAGCCTGCTGGAGAAGAAGGACAAGGAGCTAGAGGCCCTCAAGCAGGCACTCAGGTGGGTAGGAAGGTCTGCACGGCGGGTGTGCGGAGCCCAGGCACACCCAAGTGCCCCTGGAGCCTTGCACAGAGAGGCAGAGCAGGGGGCGGTGGTGGGGGGGACGGTGCTCAGTCAACGCTGGTTGAAGAGTTGAATGAATGAGTAGATGAATGAATTTTCATTTACATTTCATTGCTTTACAACCTCATCATTTAAAACAAAGCTTTGCTCAGTTCTGTGCATCTAGACATTCCTGCCCAATATTCCAGATGAATCTCAGCTTAAATGCCACTTCCTCCAGGAAGCCCTCCATCATTCGCCGTCACGAAACATAGCCAAGGGCTCCTGCTCTGCCTGGGGTCCATCAGCTCCTTCATGCCACCTGAGCGAACCCTTCTCACACAGCCAGGCTGCTCCCACCTGCTGATTGTCTGCCTTCCCCATGAGAACCCCTGTGTAGACTCTATTGACTCCCCAGCATTCACACGGTGCCTGGCATATAAAGGAACGTAGTAAATATTGACTGTACAAAGGTATAGACTGGAGGTGTCAGAGGTCAGCTTAAACTAAATATATTGTTGTTGTCCCACGGATTCGTCTCAAAAATACATGTGAGTTTGCATTTCCATCTATAGTGTATCCATATTTTGACATAAGATTAATGTTTTTCCCAAGGAAGTTTGCATAGAATTGATATCTCATGTATACTCTGTAGCTTCATGTGCTCCGTGGTTCATGGCCAAGGCAGATTCACATAGTGGTTAAAAGAATAGGCTCCAGACCCAGGCTGCATGGATTCGAGGCCAGGCGCCTTCACCTACAAGCTCCACGACCACAGGCAAATTGCTATATGTCTCTCTCCTTGTCTGTAAAACGGGGCAAGCAGAGTCCCCACCTCATGGGACTTCTATGAGAAATAGAAGGGTTGACAAATAGTAAGTGTTAGAAACAGCAGACACACAGTAAATACCCGCCATGAATGTCACAGCAGTGTCCCGCAGACCCAATGCAGGAAGCAAGGATGGGTAGGGGCCTGCCTGTCTGGTCACTATAGCCTTAAGTCCCCCGAAGCTCATTTCCCTAGAAATCTTCGGGCAGTAGACTTGAAGGCTCAAAGATTTTGGTTCCCTGTAAAAATGGGAGTCCCTTTTCCAATTCTGTTCATGGGTACAAAGGTAATTCACGGTTCCCGGAATTCATGCTGCCAACGACTCTGCTGCCCAGTGTCTCATCTTCTCTGCCCTAGGGCCTCCCAAGAGAAACACAGACTCCAGCTGCACAAGGAGAAGGAACAGAAGCCCAGGAACACAACCCAGATGTGTGACATCTCGGTGCAGATAGAACCAATCCACACCGATATTTTCTTGAGCAGCCAGGAAGTGAGTGCCTGCCCTGTCCCTGGGCAGCTAGAAAGACAAGCTAAGAAAGAGCCCAGCAGTGGCTTTCTTTGTGCTTTTTTTTTTTTTTTGCTTTTTTTTTAACAGGGTGATGTGAGGTTCCAGTTTGAATGAGAAGGCATAGCTGGGGAAGGGCGGTCCAGGCAGGGTAATTGCCACTACAAAGGCCCTGAGGCAGAAATATGTTTCAGGAGGAATATATGTGGGAAGGAGGGCAGTTTGGGATCTAGGAGAACTTTTATTATTATTGTGTGTGTGTGTGTGTGTGTGTGTGTGTGTGTGTGTGTGCGCGGCTGTGTTGGGTCTTCGCTGCTGCACGCGGGCTTTCTCTAGTTGCGGCGAATGGGGGCTACTCTTCGTTGTGGTGCACAGGCTTCTCATTGCTGTAGCTTCTCTTGTCGCGGAGCACGGGCTCTAGGCGCACGGGTTTCAGTAGTTGCGGCACGCAGGCTCAGTAGTTGTGGCTCGCAGGCTCTAGACTGCAGGCCCAGTAGTTGTGGCGCACGGGCTTAGTTGCTCCACGGCATGTGGGATCTTCTCGGACCAGGGATCAAACCTGTGTCCCCTGCATTGGCAGGCGGATTCTTAACCACTGAGCCACCAGGGAAGCCCCTTTCTTTGCTTTTGTAAACATCTTCATTTTAAGTTCCAAAAATATTACTTGCTTATGTGAAATGTATGTTATCAGCAGCTTGGCACGTGTGCCATCAGACCTTTTCCTCACAGAAACCACCACGTGCTCATACAGTCAGGATTGTGCAGTGGTTGAAGGTCAGGCTTGGATTCGATTCCAATCTTGACTCCTCCACTCAGAAACCCTGTGACTTCAAGGATGCACCTGAGTACCAATTCCCTCATCTGGGAAGTGGGAGTAATACCAGTCACCACCCCCCCATGGGGTTGTTGAGAAATGAATTTATACACACAAACACGCGCAAACTTACATATACATATATTTATTTAATAGGGTTTTTTTCAAAACATGGTATCAAGCTGCATATATTCTGCAACTATTTTTTTCTCACATAAGACTATTTAATGGGCATATTGTCAAGTAAGCATGTAAAGATCTACCTCATCCTTTTAAACGGCAGCAATGAATTCCATCATGTCCCTTTTATCCAACCAGTCCTGTATTGATGGACATTTGTTTCTACTTCCACACGTTGCTATAGTTAATATCCTTGTAAGTATGTAGAACAAATTCCTAGATGTGATTCCGAGATGTCCAGAGGACAGCCTAAACTGTGCTTGGTATGGCCAAACTGCCTTCCCAAAGAGCCATGCCACTTACACTCCATGGCTGACTCTTGGCAACCTCTGCGCAGAGGCCTTTGCGTGCCTGGAAGTCCCAGCGGTGCAGCACACAGGGATCATGTCTTAGAGCGAGAGCAGCCTTCACCACGCAGTCCTCAATGGTGGCGCTCACATCTGTCCCCGTGGCAGGGGCTGTGATGCTCCCCATTGTACATGGGCGGCTGACTATGGGTATGGCGCTTCCTCGAGGCCCCGGGTTTCCTGGAGTCCAAGGATCTCCTTTGCTTTGTGAAACTAGAGAGCAGAGCGTTTCAGTAATGGGCTTTGGACTTTCACTTGGAGACAGGGCCAAATGTGTCAGCTTGCCTTCCTGCCTTCTCAAAGATGCCTTTCCCCTGCCAAAGAGCAGTGAGCCAGGGCCGCCCGCAGCGTGAAGGAAAGGGCTCAGTGGCCCAGCCCTCCGGCCCTGGCAACAATCACCATCCAGAGAACTTTAGCAGAGGTGTCTCCTCGTTACTAGGGCCACCTGGCGATGGGGCTGCAGCGGGTTCCGCAGCTGTGAGCTCCATGGGGCCGGAAGCAGGTCTCACTCCTGTCGGAATCCAAGCTCTTTGTGCAGGACCCAGCCCATATTCATTCACACGTTCAACAACTATTGAGCACCTGCTGTATGCCAGGCCCTGTGCTGGGCTCAGGGGAGGATGCTCAGGGTCCCTGCCCACACCAGACCCCCTGCGACTCTGCACGTGTTTGCTGGAAAGGACTGTTGACCAGAGGCCTGTGAATTTTAGTTTCTGTGACGAGGAGGGGTTAGTTGAGGAAGATGGGGGAGGGAGGCTGCAAGATAAAAGTAAAAAGGATTTTTTCTTTCTCAGAACGGCTTTCCACACTCAGGCTACTTCCTGCTTTCTAAACCAGAGTGGGTCAGAGGGCTTAAGCATTGTATGAGAAAGAATCTCCATCTTCTCTAAATAAACAAATTCCCAGAAGAGCCATGAGTAAGGGTCACATCGGGCTCAGGCGAGCTCTGCAGGCAGAGGAAGGGCTGTCACCAAGCCCGGCTACTGCGGCTGCCCCACCCCCAAGGCCGGTCACCCCTGCCCACCTCCTCCTCTCCAGCCTCCAGCATGTGCACACACACACACACACACACACACACACACACACATTCCTGGTGTTTACTCCCAAGGCAAACATACACCCTCAAAGAGAGGGAGGCCAGTGTAGAAAGAGCCTGGGAAGTAAGCTGGCTGTAGCCAGGGTCAGGCTCCATCAAGGTCCTACTAAGTGCAGCCGGGGGTAGAGTGCCCCCTTCTCTCAGGGACTGAGCCCTGGTCCCAGCAGGAACACTGGGGCAGACCCCTTCCGGCTCCGTATTTCTTGAGCCCCTACTATGCCCGGGGAATAAGGCTGGGCCCTGGGAATAGCACAGTCTACAACGGAGACAAACTCTGCTCTCACAGAGCCCACATTCTGGAAGAGGAGAGACACAGGCAATAAACAAGTCAACGTCGAACAAAATGTCCAGCGGGAGCGAACGCTCCGAGGAAAGATACAGCAGGATTCGGGGTAGAGTAGCGTGTGGGAGGGGGCCTCCCAGGAGAAGACCAGGAGCAGAGCCTGAATGAAATGAAGGAATGAGTGGTGGGGACGTGGGGTGAGAAGTGTGGCCCCAGGAGGACCTCAGACGGCCCTGCTGGGCTCCCCGAGCGAGGCCATGAGCCTTGTGCCCATCGTGGCCAGCATGCGGCCTGGCACATGTCACATGGGCCTTCAATAAGCATTTGATGAATCAAGGAAGGAAGAGCAAATAAATGTCCCTTTCCCTCTTCTCTGCTTTGTTTTCCTGGTAGCATTTATCACTTTCTGGAATTTGAACATGTCTTTCTGCTTGTTTGGTGTGTCTGCCCCATAGCAATGAGCCCCCAGCAGCAGAGCTTTCTGCCTGGTTCCCCGATCTCTCCCTAGTGCCTAAACAGTGTCTGGTGAGCACTGTCTCTCTGAACCAAAATTGTCATAAGATTGTGATAAAACAAACAAGTTGTCAGTTTCTTCCCTTTCTCGCCATTTTGACTGGGACCTTCCCTAGCCACAGTACTTATATCTGAAGACCATTCCCAGCACCCCATCCCATTTCCAGTTTCTTTCTTTAATATCTATCACTGTCCACCATATATTTTCCATGATTATCTTATGTATTGTCTGTCTGCTCACACTAGGATGCAGAATCTATGCTAACAGGGATTTTGCCAGTTTTAGTCACTGCTAAGTCCCCAGAGCCTAGAGCAAGGCATGGCACATAGACGTGCTCAATAAACCTTTGTGGTATGAATGAATGAGTGGATGAATGAATCACTTACCCTAGGGAAGCGCTGTTTAATTTGGAGTCTACGACAGGGCTTCAGGGGGTCCCTGAAGCTCCAGAAGTTGTCTGCAAATTTTTGTACGTGAATTTTTCTGGAGGAAGAAACCCGCATTCTTCCTATTCTCAAAGGGGAGAATATGTGCATGACCCTTAAGAGATGAAGAAGACCTTTCCTTGTCTGTGCCCTTTGTAAACCCAACTCTAGCGACACGGCTAGTGACTACCATATTGGATGGTGCAGATAGAGAATACTTCCATTGTTGCAGAAAGTTCTGTTGGACCACACTGTTCCAGAGAGTCCAGGAGTCTCAGAGGAGTGTTTTCCTTTCTGCAGACCAGCCAGGAGTCCGCCCATCAAATTCCCTCGAGTAAATATTAAACCACCATCCTTATTACCAGCTAAGAAGAAAATATCACATGTTCTTACCTAAAAAATGCCCCTCCAGGGACTTCCCTGGCAGTCCAGTGGTTAAGACTCTGCGCTTCCGCTGCAGGGGGCACGGTTTCGATCTCCGGTCAGGGAACTAAGATCCCGCATGCCGCACGGTGCAGGCAAAAATAAAAAATGCCCCTCCAGGAGCGAATTTGATGTGATTATTCAGAGATGAGACCAGAATGACAACAAGTGGAAACCCAAGCTTAGAAGAATATTAGAAGAAAAAGAGAAATAAAACATGGGGATGGAACATAGAGGGGATCTCTTATTTATAGTGATGCTAAGTAGGTAGGAAAGTTGGAAATCTTCCTAGATGTGACTTTGTATTTGAAATGAAATTTTTAAGTTCCTTCTCTGCTGAAGCCCCTTAATGATATTTTCCAAGGTACTAGGTAAGTGACAGGGTTTCTGCTAATCCATGATTTGTTCATGTTTCTTCAAATACAAGAGAGGGAGATTCTGATCCCTGATAAAGCTGCTGTCCTCACCATTCTGGCCACAGGAGCAGTCCTTCAGTGATCTAGGGGCCAAGTGCAAAGGGTCCCGACATGAGGAAGTCATTCAGCGTCAGAAAAAGGCCTTATCCGAGCTTCGTGCGCGAATTAAAGAACTTGAGAAGGCCAGCTTGTCAAGTAAGTTTCCTCCTTCCTAGTCACCCGCTCTGTGCTGAGAGCCGTGGGCCCCAGACTTGAGGGTTCACTTTGGGGACTGACCAATTTGCCAGGACCACCATCTTCTATCCCCATCATTTCATAACTAAAAGGACATAGTTATAAAAAAAAAAAAAGATGGGCAGGAAAAAAAAAATTGGGCAGACATGATCTCAGAGTCAAGAGCAGGCCTTGATATTAAATAAACAGGATTTCATGAAAAACTCACAACCTTGTCCTTCTTTTTCTGATTTCACTGTGGCCCAGTGGAAACTTTTTCATAGACTGATGCTGTGCAAGGACCAACCTTGGGGAACTTCCCAGGATAAATACCCTGTGTAGAGGGAATAGGGCTTTCAAGAAACCAAGCTTGCTGCTGGGTAGAGCACTGGGCTAGGACACAGAATCCTGGGTTCAAGTCCATCCTCATACCTGTGGCCGAAGGTTCACCCTCAGTGCCTCAGCCCTGTGAGGCTGCAGCCTCATATTAGCTGTGTGGCCTTGGACAAGTCATTTCACCTCTCTGGGCCTTGATTCCTCACCTGCCAAGGGAGGATGGTGAGGTAATTAGTACTGGCCTGTGGTAAGTGTCCAGTAAATAGCAGCTGTGATTTTTACATGCAGTAACTTCTTCCTGAGCCTTCCTTTTGAGTGTAAATTATTTCTTTTATAGATCATAAAGACCACATGGATGGATCATTTCTAGACTTAAAGACCCTCGGGATGGAAAAAAATGTTCAGAAAATATGGGATGTAAAACCTGACTTGCCAACTTTTTCAAGAGTAGAGATCCGAGCGGTAACCAAAGAAAATTTGTCTCTGCACTGACTGACACGTGGAGAGGGTGGGCATGAGGACAGACACTAGCCGTGTGCCCTGGCATCACTGTATACATCATTGGTTCGAGGCCAGGTCCTCCCTGATGAGCTAGCACCTGTATGGACTGGTCGGTGCCTGGCCGTACCAGCAGTCCAATGTTTGAATAGAAAGGCGGCTTCCCATCATGTACAGCATGATGTAGCATTGCACTGATGTTGGCCAGGTCAACCTCTGGGCCCTCCTTTTCACATCACATGTTATATTCTGCAGACAATATTCAACAAGCTAATGTACAACATTATGTCACGAGCTTGCCTAACATTTGCTTTTTGCTATAAACTGAAAAACATGAACACATAAAGGGCAGCAGAAGGGAGCCATGATGATTAAGAAGACACAAGTTCTAGAATCAGAGATCTGTGTCCTAATCCCAGCTCTGCAAGCTCTGTGACCTTGGGCAGGCTCCTAACCTTTCTGGGACTTCATTTCCCAGCTGTAAAATGATGATGGAAAAATTAAAGGAGACAATTATGTAAAGTGCTTATCCCAGTGCCCAGACCATAGTGAGCACTTCAATAGATGGTAGTTACTATTATTAAACAGTATTATCCAAGAAAAGCTTCCTTTCTTAGGGAGCATAGTTCGTATTTGCCAGGATTTTCAGAAGTCATTTGATTGTTAGGTTGAAGGTGCCCTGTATCCTAAATGGATGCTTGATCGGGTGTTTGATTGACACATGACAATGGACAGCTCAGGTCAGCATTAATCACAGGACCTGCTGGGTGTGGCTTGCTGCGGCAGCTGGTCTAAACCAGCTTTTGGAAAAAAATAATAAAGCCATCCTATCTGTACCAGCATTTTCTCCTACCATTTTTCTAGACATTTGCTCACACGTCTAGAGATGTGAGTCTTCAGAAACGTGTTGGTTTTCCTGATAAAATTGAACCTTCCTTCTCTGAGGTTGGGAGTAGAGGGACCATCTCCAGGTGGGGAGCTCAGCTGGATCTCACATCCTGATGATCCTGCTTCCAAGATTTACCTTCCCCTCGGCAACAAGCCCTCATCCCACCGCTGACACCACAGAGCAGGAAACCTCCCAACTCTCAAGCCTCCAAGGTTGGCAGTAATTAAACGAAAGAGCAGGAGGAAGAATAGCTGACATCTGTTAACTGCTTACTGTGTGCCAGGCGTTGAGCTCAGCCGGCTACATGCCCTATCTCACTTAGCCATCGTAGCAGCCTTGTGTCATAGTTACTATTATTGTCCCCATTTAACAGATAAGAAAAATTAAGGCTTCAGGAGGTCAAGTACCTCACCCAAGGTCACAGAATAATGATTGAAGAAGCCATGGGTGTGTCCCTGGTGGTCTGTCTGCTAGCCTGCAGAGACCGGGTGGGGACTGTGTGATTGGATCCTGTAGCCCAGGCTCTTCCTTAGTGACCCTCCCCTCAGGAAAAGAGGGGGAATCTGGAGAGGTACAGAGGATGCAGCTCAGGGTAGCTGAAGCCACTGAGCAGCATCTCAGGTTCTTTTTGCAGCAGATCTGCCCGGTTTATTGTCATCTTCAGATGCCCTCTTTTATTCTCATCTCCACAGATACATAGACAAATATGTCCACTCTTATCTATCACAGTCACTTTGGGGGCCTTTATATTTTTGTAGTTTTTTTTTTTTAATCTCAGAGGTTTTCAGGGTAGTGCCAACAAATGCTAGGGCTAAGAGATGCTCGTGGCAAGCATTAAAAGCCAATTTATTTTTTAAGGAGGCTTATTATGGTTGTTTGTAGTCGTTGAGATCAGGCCCCCTATTCAGTCTGGTGGCCTTTCCATGCAGTCAGTTGGGCTTCCAGCAGCCAGCTGGCTGGTTGGGGTCTTAGGGAGATGCAGCTGCAAATACTGTCTGCATTGGCTCTGGAAAGGGTCTGAAGTGACGCCCACCCACCAGGTTCCAGAGGTAGGAGAAGGTTTGGCCAAATTTTGTGAGGGTATGGTTTCCGCTGCATAGAAATGAGATTCCTTTAATAAAAAGGAGGGAGGCTATTTTCTACTTAACCTTCATTCGTTCGTTCAACAAACATGCCCACTATGCACCACTCGGTGCCAGGTGCCATGCTGGGCGCAAGGAGGGGGATAGTGAGCAAAGGCAACATGGTCCCCATTTCTCTGGAGCTTGTCTTCTCCACATCGGCGGTACTGATTTTTTTGAGCCAGGTAACTGTTTGTTTGGGAGACTGCCCTGTGTATCGTGGGGTGTTTAGCAGCATCCTTGTCCTCTACCCACTAGACGCCAGCAGCAATTATGACAACCACAAATGTGTCCAGGCATTGCTAAATGTCCTGGAGGGGGTAGGGTGGACAGAGTCACCCCTGGTTGAGAACCACTGGCCTAAAGGGAAGACAGACGAGACAGTGGCCAAAGAATGGCACAAGCGATGCATCATTTCAAAGGCAGTCGTGCTCTGAAGGGGTAGGAACACAGTCATAAAGAAAGCAGTTCACAGAGTCAGACTGGATTTAAAACCAACTCTCTTGGCATGGACATATATACACACACACGCTACCAAAGGTAAAATGGATAGCTAGTGGGAAGCAGCTGCATCGCGCAGGGAGAGCAGCCCGGTGCTGTGTGTCTACCTAGAGGGGTGGGATAGGGAGGGTGGGAGGGAGACGCGAGAGGCAGGGGATATGGGAACATATGTATATGTATAGCTGATTCACTTCGTGATACAGCAGAAACTAACACACCATTGTAAAGCAGTTATACTCCAATAAAGATGTTAAAAAAAAATCAACCCTCTCGAATTATTCTTTAGTAACTTTCCAGTTCTTCCATTATTCTTTGGGTTATTCTTCTGGATGTAGAAAATCATAATGGAATGCCAAGAGAGTTTTTTTTCTTTCTTTTTATTTCAGCCTCAAAATGGCCTTTCCAGCCCAGGGTCCATCATGGCCACTGAGAAGTTAGGGAAAACGGATGCGGCTGAGGCTTTAGATCTTAGTGAAAAGCTGGTAGGTACACCCAGCATCAGTCCCCTCCTGTCCAAACCTGCGTGCCCTGCAAATGGTTTAAACATCAACCCCACATACATATTTATTTGTTACAGTAGCTCCACGAGACCCATCTACTATCCCAGCATGGGCTGGAAATTGCACAGCCAAATTCCTTGGAAGACTGGGTAGTAAGAGTGAATGTTTATGTCTGTTGTCATTCCCCCTCCCGCCCGCCCCCCAATTCTCAAAAAGGCATGGTGTAAATGGATGCGGGGAAAATGAAAGTCGTACTAAAAGCCCCAAATGCATTCATTTGCAAAGCATGTGTTTCTTCTCTGCAATTGCAGAAAATGAATGAAACAGAATTAGACGTTTGCCTCCTCAAAGTGGCCACCAGTGGTCTTGGGCCAGGCCTCTTACCTGCGAAACGCTTTCTCGTAGTACATGGATATGAGCAAAACCCTCGGGAGTCTGATGAATATCAAAGATATGTCAGGTCACGTGTCCATGAAACACCTCTCCCCAAAAGAGAGGGAGAAGGTCAACCAGCTTCGACAAAGAGACCTCGACCTGGTGTTTGATAAGATCACCCTACTCAAGAACAAGCTGGAGAGAAAAGAAGAGCTTTTGAGGCGATACGAGAAAGACATTGAACAGCTCAGGTACGGCCCGTGTCCCCGGCAAAAGGCCCAGGCCTCCATTCTCCAGGCTAAACCTCGGGGCAGCTGCAGACCCGTAGGGACCAGGACAAGAGGACAGAGGCCTGGGTGTGGAGGGGGGAGGCGGGATGGTGACTCAGGGCCTGATGGACCCAAGTCTCTGGGCAAGAAAGCAGCAGTTAAAGTACCCTACTCTCTCTTAAGGAATAAGGTGCACCTTTTATGAATGTGTCTGATGTTTCACCATGTGTGTGCTTTTCATAATTCCATCATATTTTCAGTGGTATCAGCTCCCCCACCCTCTCTGGGAAATTGGGAGGGGCTGGTAGCATAACCTTTGCCACCTTCATGCTACACTTCCACAGCCAATGGGCTATTTATTCTGCCCTCTATTCCCCAAATCTTCATCCTTCTCCCCCACTTGTAATGAAACCGCTAAGTTAGGCATATATATAAGTGTTTTGAGAATCTCCCAGGTCGGGAGCATTGGTGGTGAGTTGAGAAAGATGAGGGGAAAAGAGACTTTTCTCTCCTGTGTGCTCAGGCAGAGCAAAGTGTCGGTTCAGATGTACCAGTCACAGGTGGCAAAGCTGGAAGACGACATCTACAAAGAGGCCGAAGAAAAGGCGCTGCTGAAGGAGGCCCTGGAGCGCGTGGAACAGCGGCTGCACCAGGAGAAGAGGGTCCACAGGGCGATCAGGCAGCAGGAGGTGAGAGGTCCCCGCTCGGAGCAGAGCCTCTGAGGCTGCCCCTCAGCTCCCTTTAGAAGCAGCCACCTGAGGTCCTAGTGGGATCCAGGTAGCACAGAATGCATTCGCCGATGCAAAGGAAGGTGTCAGAATAGCTTTAGCATTAGGCAGACCTAGGTTTAGACTCGTTCTACCATTTACTGTGTGACTTCAGGCAGCTTTCTTTCTTTTTTTATTTTTTAACATCTTTATTGGAGTATAATTGCTTTACAGTGTTGTGTTAGTTTCTGCTGTATAACAAAGTGAATCAGCTCTACATATACATATATCCCCATATCCCCTCCCTCTTGTGTCTCCCTCCCACCCTCCTCATCCCACCCCTCTAGGTGGTCGCAAAGCACCGAGCTGATCTCCCTGTGCCATGTGGCTGCTTCCCACTAGCTATCTATTTTACATTCGGTAGTGTATATATGTCCATGCCGCTCTCTTACTTCGTCCCAGCTTACCCTTCTCCCTCCCCATGTCCTCAAGTCCATTCTCTACATCTGTGTCTTTATTCCTGGCCTTCCCCTAGGTTCATCAGAACCTTTTTTTTTTTTTTTAGATTCCATATATATGTGTTAGCTTAACCTCTCTGAGACTCCTAGTCTAGCTTGCCTCTATTTTTTTAAACTTGTTTTTAATTTAATTTTTATTTTATATTGGAGTACAGTTGACTTACAGTGTTGTGTTAGTTTCAGGTGTACAGAAAAGTGACTCAGTTATACATATACATATATCTATTCTTATTCAGATTCTTTTCTCATATAAGTTATTACAGAATATTGAGTAGAGTTCCCTGTGCTCTACAGTAGGTCCTTGTTGATTATATATTTTATATATAGTAGTGTGTATATGTTAATCCCAAACTCCTAATTTATCCCTCCCCACCACATTTCCACTTTCGTAACCAAAAGTTTGTTTTCAAAGTCTGTGAGTCTGTTTCTGTTTTGTAAATAACCACATTTGTATCATTTTTTTTTAGATTCCACATATAAGTGATATCATATGATACTTGTCTCTGTCTGACTTACTTCACTTAGTATGATAATCTCTAGGTCCATCCACGTTGCTGCAAATGGCATTACTTCATTCTTTTTGATGGCTGAGTTGTATTCCATTGTATATATGTACCACATCTTCTTTATCCACTCCTCCATCGACGACATTTGGGCTGCTTCCACGTCCTGACTGTTGTGAACAGTGCTTTCTGAGACTCACAGTCTAGCTCGTCTGTATTTTTTTAACTTTTGATAATTCGTGTATCTTATCTTGTTCTTTCTATTCAGATAACTATTTTTTCTACCAGTTTTACTGAGGCATAATCGACATACAGCAGTGTATTGAGCTTAAGGGTGTACAGCGTAATGATTTGACTCACCTACCTCGTGAAATGATTACCACAATAAGTTTAGTGAACATCCCGAATTTTTTTAAAGGCGGCTATTCTTACTTTCATTGTTCTGCCAGGTGCTAGGGATATGCCGATGAATAAGCTCTCTGAGAATAAAGATTTTGGTTTGCTATTCTGAGTACCCAGAACGGTACTCAAGTCCTTCTGACTTGGGGCTGTGTATTTGTACACGCATGCTTGCGTGTATGTGTGTACATGTGAGTATGTGCTGTGTGTTTGCACGTGTGTGTATTTGTATGTGTGTGTGTGTTGCCTGCATGAGCTCTAAGGAGGCCAAGGTCATAGAAGGGCGCCCTTCTCCTCAACCAGGAGGTGATGGTCAGATAGCTCCTCGCAGAAGCCTGCCGTCCATCCTGCAAACCTTCCAGGCAGTAGGTTTCCAGACAGCAGGCTCTCTGGCTTATAGCCCCAGAAATGAAAAGTGGCTGTCCTGCTCTGAGGGAGCCTGGATGCGGTGTTTCCAGTACTCAGTGCTCTGAATTAAACATCACAGGCCTTAGTCTGCGTGTGTCATGGGGCTGCCTCAGGCAGAGGCAGTTTCCTTTCACACCAAGCAATGCCAGGGAGAGCTGGGCCAGTGGCAGAGCTGTGACTTTCCCTTTGATGTGCCCTCTGGAGAGCTCACCCCTCCCCGAAGTGCCCCCCCCCACCCCCAGGGCTTGGCAGGCTAGGCCCCAAAGCAGAGACACCAGACCACAGAATGGGACAGCAAAGGGCCCAAAAAAAGCCATTGTCATGTACTGAAAACCTGAGGATTTACATAATCAGGCTTCACATGCATTATTCATGGACTGCCTCATTCATAACACAGTGCAAGGGACGTGCCAGCCTGTTTGACGCTAGACATCCTTCAGCCGAGAAGGGTCTGAAATGGCCAAGTTGAACCTGTGTCACGGTCCCCAGAAGAGCTACAGCTAGTAGCTTTCAAATTCGTGGAATTCACAGTTGGGGGAAAGATGTATATGAACTACAGCCAGGATCGTGGCATCGCCGATGGTGTCGTGTACTGAGCACTTACCAAGGGGCAGGCACCTGCTCCACACCGCACTTCATCTCTCCCATCAACCCGCAAGGGATGCTGGCAAGTGTCGGCCCCTTAGAGAGAGGGGAAAGCTGAGTTGACAGAGGGTACCGTTCCCTGGCTACTAAGCGGCAGAAACAGGATTCCCTCCCCACCTGCTGCCCTCCCCAGCCCATGTTCACTTTTCCACACCCCTTCCTTCTGGGTCTCCCTTACCAGGGTGGCCCCCTTGTATACCTCTCACCGTTGTTCCTGGGGTTTTTACTCCAGGACTCAGGTGTGCATTTCAGGCTTGTTATTAATATGTGGTCAGAAATCCCTGTTTGTCAGGAAGAAAACGATAATAAATTTTAAAGTTTTGCTGGATTCTAAAGGGCACTTGTATACATCTGTCTTGGCATCAGTTCCTTCCAGGGAGTATATCTTCGTTGTTTTTAAGCAGAAATTAACAGAAAATAGAATTCCTCTTTTCTAAGTTTTACACTTAGTATTTTCACAAGGAGCCTTAGTTTTTGTAGTCTCCTGTACAAAACTTTGAAACTCTTCACCCGTTCATAGAGGTGGCAGGGTTGAAGCACTGAGATGAAATTACACATCTTAAGCTTCAGAACTGCCCCCCCCAAAAAAATGTAGTTTGTAGTTTTAATGTCTGACCATCCCTTCACCAAGCAGAACTTTCAAGAATCAAAAGTCGTATTTCCACACTAATACCTTTGGCTGTGAAAATGAGACTTGGTGGAAAATGCTGGGCATTCACAGAGAACTGGGTCTGTGGCTCTGTCCATGTGGCAGAGGGACGGGAACCGTGGCCCAGGCCGTGCCCACTCTAATCGACATCACTCGAGAAGCCGGCAGTGCCTCTCAGAGTTCAGAGGCCGGATTTGGAGTCAAACAAATAGAGGTCAAGCCCCACCGCTGCCCCGAATGACCCTGAGTAAGTGGCTTGACCTCTGTATCGCAGGTTCCTCAACAAAAGCAGCCAAAACTGTTAACAAGGGGCCTACTCCGTGGGGCAGCGGGAGGGTTAAATGGCAAAATGCCTGCAGCGCCTGGCACATGGCAAGCCCGGTTTCTAAGGGGGAAGAATAGGCAGCTCATGGATGGGTGGGGATTCCTCTATTTCTTTCAGGGAGCTTCCTGCCAGCTGACGCCTTCCCCTGTCCTCCCAAAGCCGGCAGCTCTTATGGGACACGCTCTTCTCTTTGGTGAATAGGACTAGGGCCACGGCCAAGAAAGGACCCAGATACCTTTTGTGAATGGGCTAAGGCTGGGATTTTCAATAGGAAATTTTTAAATGCACAGAAGTTGCCACTTGAGAAGCACGCAAACCCTTTCTTAGGGCTTGAAGCGTAAGAAAGGCTGAAGGGCACCGGCTGCTTCCGGCAGGAGAAGCCGCTCAGCTCTCCTGCCAATCAAACCTCCAGCCAATCAAGTCCTGGCTAGGGGGCGTGACCACCGCTTTGCCTTGTGGTCTCAGCCAGGAAAACCCCGTAACCTTCCCTCTGCTTAATTAGCTCAGATCCCTCTTCTTTAAGATGAGAATAAAAATGGCGCCTAACTCGTAGCCTTCCATTCAATGGGAGCTTGTATACAAAACCCTTAGCACATAGGACCACAAAGCATACATGCTCTCCTACCATCGTCATTATCCTCACTATTCTATTTAACTCACTATTTTCCAAGATTTCCTTGGGCCCAGGTATTCTCAAGATTCTGGCTTCCTCCGTGCCACTTGTGGTTTTTTTGTTTGTTTGTTTTTTGCGTTACACGGGCCTCTCACTGTTGTGGCCTCTCCCGTTGCGGAGCACAGGCTCCGGACGCGCAGGCTCAGTGGCCATGGCTCACTGGGCCCAGCCACTCCGCGGCATGTGGGCTCTTCCCGGACCGGGGCACGAACCCACGTGCCCTGCATTGGCAGGCGGACTCTCAACCACTGCGCCACCAGGGAAGCCCCACAATTGGTAGATGTTGTGTAGGAGGAGCGTGGGATGGGAGGGGCTTGGGGTGGTGCTCTTCCGCCCACAATGATAAAGTAGAACCATGTGGCCAGGCCTATGCAGCATACGGATAGAAGAAGGCTAAAGAAAAAGACCCTCACCCACCCCCTTCTTCTGCCCACCAATCGCAGTGAATCCCAGCGTCTCCTAGAAACCTCAGAGGTGTGTCCCCGAATGGAACAGGTGGGGATGCATTAAACCTGATATTTTCACCTGATATTTTCACTCGGGAACGTTTAGAGGATCTCATACAGAGAAATGCCAAAGAAGCAGCACCTTGCAACTGTTCCTTCAAAGAGAAAGAGAGGCAGGTGTGAAGAGGTTTTGTGATCTTGCAGCCAGACACAAAGTAGGTACCTTACTTTCAAAGGGTAAGAGCTTATGGAGTGTACATGCCAGCGTGGGCGGCCCAAGAAACATCCACACACCTCCAGTGCCCTCCCCTCCCCCACCCCAGCCCCTGCCCCGTCCCTTTTCCTGAACAAACGACCTAAGGGACCCAGTATCTGGAGGTGAGAGAAGGCAGAAGGGCAGTGCCACCATCCTAGGT